GAGTAGACAGCTTTGTATCGATTGCTGCAATTGGGAGACATACAACCGATGTAATTTGTTCACTGGAATATAAATTATATAATTGTACTTAAGTATACAAAAGATAATAACTATCAATATTTAAAAAAAAAAAATTATGTACAAAAAAAAAATAATTTTACAAATATAAATAGTATAACATACTTCTTTGCTTCGTCAATAGCATTACTCAAAAATGTTTGAAAAGTCTGGCATATAATATTATCATTGGTAGGACTGGAAAACCACTTGACTAAAAAATTAAAAATAGTAAAATATAGTAGATTCAACAAATTCACACAAATATATTTACTTGTAAAGGTAATTATTTTATTGCCATGTCCAAAAACTATGATTTCACCGCCAGGAGATACACAATTCACAGTGTCATTGAAAATATCTTTAAAACAAAAATGTAATAAATATTTTTTTTTGTATTGTAAATAATCATTATTATGTGCATAATATTACCTTTTGTGTCATCAGATCCAAATAAATAAGATCTAATTTTCGACGAATCGATAGCTCTGGCAAACGCTTTAAGCTGAACCGACATGTTTGAAATGTCAAAGAAGAAATCGTTAAGACACCTACATTTGCATTATTAATTATAACGTAAGTACATATTGCTTATGTAAAAATAGAAAATAAATAATGTATAAGAAAGTTACGTTGTTGAAAATATAAAACAAAACTTTGCAATAATAATTAATAATATACTACGCTATAATATTGCTATAATATACCTACAGCCTATGTCGAAAATATGTTCATTGTAAATATTATTGTTATTTATTTTGGTTTGATATCACATATCTACTATCTACAATTCCATCCACAACTTATAATCACAGAAGTGAATAATAATAATACCACAGAACCACGACTATAAAAATCAGCTGATCGAGTGTCACTTCTATACATAGACCTTTCCTTTGTAACAAAATCTGACGGCAAATATTCCTCCGGAGTCCGGACGTATAACCTGTTCATAAAGAACAGTGCACAAAACTACACATTATAATTTATTCAGTATTTTGTGATAGTCGTACAAAAATACAACTACTATAAAAAAAATATTTAATATATAGTAATGCGCAGTACGAAATACGAATACAATTTATTCACTTTGTTCTGCTGACCCACGGTTATTACTTATTATAGATAATGTATCTATTATATCATAGAACAATATTCTATGCTGTTATAGTCATTAACTGACCTTCTATAAATTGTTTCGTGATTCTGTAGCAGTTTAGCACGGGCTGCACGGCTAGAGAATAGAGATAGTATAATATATAATATATAATAATATTAAAAAAAGTATACATTTTATTTACAGGCTACAGTCGTGTTCTGAGTGCTGACAGGTAATCATAAACTTAGTTAATATCACAGACCTTGTACTAACGCGACGTCCAACGTAAAAATGCGTCCGATGTGCACGATTTCTATTCTGACCAGCATGCAAGCTGTTTTGTTTTTTGACACTTTGGACGCATTTACGTTGGACGCCACGTAAGACGTAAGGATATATACCTAGAGAGCTTTAATAATTTAATTAAGACTCTCTAGGTATACTTTTATATTATAAGGTCTATGGTTTGTACTTTGTATTGACCTATGTACAGTGCTCGATAAGCCCGGATTAAGACATTTTGAGGCCCCTGTACTGGCTGTACTCATTAATCCTCTATACTTATTTACATACATTTTTTCTTTTTCTTTTGTTTTTCTTTTTGAAGAATCACTTTCAAAATGTCCTTTCATTTTTAAAATATGAAAAAAGAATGAAAGATCCAAAAATTAACTCATTAAACGATTACGCATTCATTTAACAAGATTCAAAATGAATAACGATAACAGAAGACGACAAATTTGTTGTAACGTGTTGTGTTGTTGTGTATACAAAATTAGCTTTTACCCGTTTGATTGATGGGCGATAGCCGACGGTAAGCGATTACTGAAAATGCGTGTAGGTAAATAGATTTATTAATTGACTTTTTAGTCCGTGGATTTCATTATTTAAAATTACGGTCGGTCAATGTATTCTGGGTAAAACAAATTGAATTTACGATAGGCAGCGGTACCGCAAGTGTGTCAGGCTTAACTAATGATCGAATGCAATTAACTTACACGCAAAAAAAAGTTTATCAACATCATTACGGCTCCTTATGGTAAATAAAAGACGGTCAAAGCATGGAAATTATAGATTTACTAGAACATAGCGAAATATTTTTCTATTTTTACCAGCTACAAGTTGTATGGTCGAAAGACCATTTAATACTTTACGATGTGTTAATAAACTTGGTTTAGGTGTACGAAGGGTGGAAACAAGATGGCTATTATATAAAGTAAGATGATATTGTAAAGTTTATAAGTCCGAGTGTCAGAGAACTTGGGTCAAAAATATTATATTGTCTTATAATCGTTAACACTTCCCCGGCGATCCCAATACGACAATATTTGTCCAACACGGTCAAGATAATATTTGGCAGCATGTGTGGCATGTCTCTTGGTCTTGATTGCAAACGTCATAAAATGTTTAAAGAAAGTTTATTTAATTTTAATTTAAAAAAAATAGGACATCAGTTTTTAAAAGCATTACATCAACTATGCTTTCATAAGTGTAGCACTGTAACGGCCTCTTCGTACAAACGCCGAATTGACTATTGTCAATCAGTACAATTTTAAAGTATTTTAAAGTTTAACTGTGAAATTATTCTATATTAAAGAAACTAAAATACTCAGATCAACGCAAACATTTTGCAAGTGTTTGGAAAATACGATTTTAGTTTATATTTTTAAGTCCAAAAATATTGCTCAATCAGAATTATTCTAAGTACAATTTATAATTTAAAAAGCAGGACTGGTTCGTTCAAGCTTTAATCATGTCTATTCCTGAACTAAAATCCCTGATAAACTGAACAATAAAAACAGCACTAGAAAACAACTAGAATCGTTGTTCTCGAGGTGGCGTATATGCAATAACTAGTGCTGGGATTTATATGCAAAATATATATATTTCACTATACCAGTATTCCACGAATCACGATGAATTAATTACTGCAAGTGATAAACTCGTTTCACAAGTTTCTGATAAATGAGCTAGGTGTATTTGATTTAACATATTGTTTTAACTATTTTGTCATAAATACATGTTTTTACATAATATTTCACAATTATTCAAATTTTATCACATATTTAGACCTCATGGCTTATAGTATAATAGGTCTATGGTTTTAATTGTGTTTCCTTCAGATTTTAAAGTGATTAAAAGCTTATCACAAGTAAACCAATAGTTTACGTCGTTTACGACTAGTGTAGTATATTAGTATAATACTATAATAGTATAATATAATATTATCATCGGGTCAGCGATGTCGACTGGGAGTATTTTTGACGTGGCTATACCTACGGGTTCTGCGCTGACAAACGATCGCGACATTCAACGTATTCTACTATAGTGCAAAATATTATATTTTCCAATTATTTCTATGAACGATTTTATTTGCTCATAATATATCAGATGGCTTATCATAGTGTACACTGTACTTAGATTAACAAATTGCATTATATAATGAACGAGCGAACACTAGTTTTAATGGATATGGTACTGTTCACGCATGTACACGTATCACGTGTGTTTAAGTGCATTATCGGTTGAGAGTTTCTAGTGTCTACACAGTTGCTAAAATTATATTAGATTATTATTACAATTATTATTGTTATTATGTTGGGCAACAGCATAATATTAGAATATACATATGAGTTAAACGATGTTGGAATAATTTAAAATAAAATAAAACGAAATTTAAATAACATAAAATATGTATTGGTAACTTTCGTTACATTGGTAGTTTCAATCTTTGGTATCCAAATTGTCATAAGATCAGTACTGGGCCATATACATGGCATACTGGTTTGCTTTTGTGAGGCCCTTGTTATTGCAGGTGATTGGACATTTACTGGATTTCAGTGGATGGTCCATTCTTTGTTCTTCATCTCGCATATAGCGCTAATGAATCTTTTAGTATCTAGCCCCAATTTTTTTAATTAGCTTTGAATCGTCATGTTATTATTTCAATAATATTTAAATCTTTAGTCAGTGTCATATACTAATGATGTATCGATTTATTCGTATTGATATGTACACATGATTATATGTATTGTCGTATATATATTGATACTTCTTTTGTGTTTCTATACTAATATCTTTCTATTCGTACACAATTCCCTCTTATCTTATACTCTGCGTCTTTACATGTTTTTTTGGATATCTGTATAGATGTGTAGTAAATTTAATACATTACAAAGGTGAAATTTGGTTACATAACCAAAGTACCTATAAGTTATCTGAACGTCAGAGCACTTAATATAAGTAATATTGTTGCCTTGATGTCTTTATGTTGTTAGTTGCTTATTTTTTTCTATATATCAATAGAAGAGATTTAAAAAAATCATCATTGTACAATTGTACATGAAGTAATTCAAAAGTTATAAATGGTTTTTTTTCGTTTTAAGCGTAAATTTGGAGTTGGGCTTGTGACATATCTTTTTACTATCAGTTATTGTATTCCATATAATTCTATTTCTTACCAAAAGATAATAGACATAATATACATATTTTACGGTTTACTAATTTGACATAGATAATTCATAAAATATAAAATAATAATTGTTTCGTACGTTGTACAATAAAATAAAATTTTTGATCAAAAAACCTAATGGAGTTAATTAGGTATTTTATTAGTTACCTCTTACTGAAAACAGTCATAAATAAAATTAATTATCACAAAAATGAAATTGTTATATTTTAAAGGTCTTATATACCTAATAATAATATATGATAAATAATATATGAAACCCGTGAACTGCTAACTTTCAAGAAATCATAAAATAGATACAATCCTGAATATTTTGATTTTTGGTGCATAATAATATTGACTGTTATGCGCGTCTTATTGTAATTTATAGCTATATTACTTATATATTTACTAAACGTGTAAGTATTAAATTCAAAATTGTTAAGTACCAGAACAATAAAACTGTGGGTTTACACGTTAATGTAATATTGTAAATTGTAATCAATAATGGTATATTTTATACCTACCAATATTCAAATTGTATTTATTTTTTCTTTAAAGAATTGAAATCTTTAGTTTTCATAGTATATTTAAACAGCATTGCTATTAAAAACATACTAATAGCAGTTGTGCTAATAATTACGAGACAAATGTCTGCTAGGAAATATTGATTATAATTCAGTACAACACTACTACTCGTAAGATGATTAGCTCCACCGTGACGGAGAACATATTCAATCCAATAAACCGCTCGATCCATTGGTCTAAGATGGGAGTCTTTAAATATTTTACTTCGTATCCTCGAGTTTTCTTTATACCTTAAATACATCATACATATCATTATCTATATATCTATATGCATTGTATGTACCTATAACCTATCTACTTAAATATAATATTGTAAGCGTAGGTATATTTAAATTATATTTACTTTGGGTTTGTGAGAACTTCATCAATGGCAGAGAGCATTGATTTTTCATTCAAATCAATATGATCTACCATTTTCCCGATGCCATTGCGTTCAGCTAACCTCATGTTCATGTGTTGGTCACCAAAGAAAGGAATACCAACGATTGGCAAAGCGTTGTAGGTAGCCTCCTCTAGACTGTGTACACCTCCGTGTGTGATGAACAGTCGAACGTTTGGATGACCTATTCAATAGGTACGGATAGGTATATTAGTACGTTAAATTTTAGATTTTAAATGTCTAGATTTGGTATAAATACTAAATAGATAGATATAGGTACCTAAAATATCGGGTTGTGGAAACCAATCGCTAACCATTACGTGATCGGGCAATTGTGTAGGCAGATTCTTTGAATCCCATTTCCACATTACTTTTTGTTTCAGTTTCTTTAAAACGTTTATAAAAACTTCTATGGTCGAATTTGGTAACTTAGACGGATCCACAATAGTACCAAAACTAAAGTATATTACTCCATGCTCTGCAGAATCAACGAACTCCAAAAATTTCTGCGAAAAAAATAAATTTTTAACTAGATACCTAATATACTGTACAGTGTACAAGAACATGTGTGATTATTAGGGCTAGATTTTATATGCGATAAAAAATTGTCATACTAATAAAAAATAAAAATAATTTATAGGTTATCCTATCGGCCGGTTGTCTAACTAAGAAAATATTAAATAGTAAATTTACGACAATTTGACAAATAAATTAATAAGTATAAACATCCATTAACTAAATACCAGTTAAAATGCTTATGATTTTCGAAAATTTAATTATGTAATTATATGCATTATGTTCAAATTATAAAAAGAATAAGTTGTTCGATATAATCGAGAATAATTAAAATCGTGGCATATCTGACAACCAATTAATATGGACTCAAGGGAGAAAAATGCAAAAGAATATAAATTCTAGCCCTAGTGATAATCGTAATAATACCAAAATGTCCGTACTCCAATTAATGGCTTAGGTTCGTTTACGTGAAGTCCTGCAATTTCGATTGTACCCGGCAGATAGGGTCTTGTTACACCGATACTGTAATGCGCATTGAGTAATGTCACTGACACGTTTCTTAACATATCTTCAATGGGAGGCCTAGATTCATGACCTTTATATTTAAAATATTTCTCCATAGTATCTTTTTGTAAAGGTAAATAATAATAATCTTCCAAAAATAATTGATAAATTCCAATGACAGTGTTTTTGAACCGTTCAATAAAAGACATTTGATCTGTTGCTCCAGTTCGCTGATCAAGTATGTATGAAAATGTGGACGGTTCACCAATCCATTTACTATTGGAAGGCCACAACGTCGAAACTCCTAAATTAATAACTGGTACTTTGTACTTATGACCTAATGTGATTGAGTATTCTTGGCAAAATGAGAAAACCATAACTAAATCGAATTCGTAATCCTGGGATAGAATGAAATTTTGCATTTCTGGTTTGGGAATGATTTTTTTAGCTAAAAAAGTAGACATTTTCCACAAACTAGGCACAACTGTTAAAAATCCATGACTGGCCAATTCCATCGGGTCAACACCTATGACAAAAAATGCATAATCCTATATTAATATAGGATTATCCATAATATCTTCATATCACCTATATTAAAACTATTTTTAATGAACATAGTGTAACAGAAAGACCTGACAAATGACCAATGAAAAATGCAGAATGTATACCTACTATAGTTAAGGGTATGAAAAAAAAGTATGGAAATTATATGGATAGTAAATAATTTAATGTTTATTTGATGTCTAAATATTCCCAAAAAGAATATTTTGAAAAACGTTAATACGTTTTGAATTAATTTACCGGAAAAAAAAAATATTGATGTTTAAAATTTTTTTTTAAAACAAACTATTTAACTCAAATGAACATTTACTATCAACGTTATTCTAAAAATTAGATTTGGAAATTAGCTATTTTCATTTTTTCAAACATTTATATAAAATAAAAAAAAATTGTTATCAGTATTAAAAAATAAAAATAAAAATGTTTATTCTGTACTTGTAGCTCAAGCGTCCATAAAGTATGTATAAAAACATATCGTTTAAAACAAAAGTTATTTAATTTGTTAGGTCATTCTGTTACACCTTGTAGGTATATATATATCTTACACGTTTTATGCTATTTGTTATTATTAATAAATTAATTACCTTTTAAAATATTTTCATCTATTGAAATTGGAATGTCTGTGTAGTTAGGCTGTGGTGTCTTCAGTGGAAACGTGCTGACTACGGTAAGATTATGCCCTCTACTAGCGAGCTCTTTGAATAATGGTTGAAAACCTCTGAAGTGACTTTTAAACGGCATTGGTGCAAAAACGAGTATATTTGCACTTTGTGAAGCAGTGAATAGTGTAAGGAATTTAAAAATCCACACGATAAAGTTATAATTATTCATTTTAACTGTGTGAATAATTCAGACTAATTTATGTCGAACTGCTATTTGTTTCAAAAATGTTTACCTTTTATCAAACAGAATTAATGTTATAGTTATAATTTATATTAAATGTAGCAGATTGGAAGATTAGATTTGTAACTATTATAATTGTATAAGTTTAATATAACATACAAATAAAATTTATAAAAATTGTTTTGGATTCATATTTTTAATTTTTTAGTTAAAGAAAAAATTAAATAACTATACATTACTTATATATTTTATTTTTATTTTTGTTTGGTGAACAGTGAGCGACGTAAAATAAAAAAACTGATTGGCAATTGTTGTGTATCAATACCTAGTGTCAAGTAAACTTATAACCATATCAACTAGTATACCTACTATAAACTTTTAACCATATCAAAAAAGTTTATTGTCATTGTAATTTAACTTTCTGTTTTTTTACATAATTTTTTCAGTTCATATTAATTATGCTTAATTGATGACATGACATAACAATTGATAGTGAGCAGTAAAGGCTAAAGAAACCTAGGTTCTAAAGTGGAGGTACTTTAGAATAATGGTTATTAACTAGGTAGGTACACTATTATATAATACAATATATATAGTTACACCTATTACTGATCATCATTAATAAGAGTAAAATATTAATCTTAAATAATAGCTTTAGAGTTAAAATTGTATCATTAGAAAATAGCATCAAATATTATTTTTTACTGTTTTTTAAACTAACAGTATAATATGTATTACGCACTAAATAATAAACCTAAATTATAATTAATACTGAATGGGCTGGCGCATGCTGCTCAAGAGAAACATAAATACATTTTAAATACTTTTTTATTTCAAAATACATCAGCTGTGGACTGTGGTACCTAATAGACTCTAGCAATCTAATGCGTTAATGCGTAAATGTATGATAATACAATAAAATATTTAATAATATAATAAATCAAATAGGTATAGAGTATTAAAATTTAAAAGTTATTAAATTGGAAAAAACAAATAGTTTTTAATAATATAGAATCAAGTATCGTAATCGTGCAATTCTTAAAGCTTACTATGATTCTTACCGTGTACTGTGTACTGTGTAGTTGGCATATTAAAACCATGCAAAATATTTAATTATAATCTTGAAGTAGGTAATTACATGTGCAATATAATTTCAAATATTGAGAATCAAGTAAAAATAATTTATAACGTTGCTAGTAGGTATACACATACACATTGCATACACCTTGTTTAGATACTAAAATATGTTACGTGATTTTGTGTGTAGAATTGTTAACCTGTTACGAAAACTCAAGGTTCAATAATTTGGAAGTAGGCATCACTATACTTGGTAAAAATAGTAATAGGAGGTGGAAACTGGAAAGAACACAGTATGATGTTGGTAACAAAAATTAATGTGCCTATATGCAAATCGATCTGGTTATACCAATATTATCTTACCTTCTGTCTACGGGAAGCCTTCATAACTTGAACTTCAAAACCTAGCCAACGGTAGACCACTCGTGTACAGCATCAACCAACTGAAAACTATATAAGTATCCATCATAAATCGCTTAACGATTTACTTCATATTTTGATGTCAAACTATTAAAATAAAAATGATTTACCATAATATAAACCATACAATTACCTAATATGTAAAACGGATCATCATGCATTTCGATAATTGTCATACAAATTAGTAGTTACCAAAGAGAGTTCTAAACCTATTATACCTACCAATATTAATTATAAGTATAATTTAATAAAACATCAACTAATATTGAAAGGGTTATTTCAAATTTTCAATAATAGTTAGTTGGGTTCTTATGGATATATTATTAATAATATATTTAATGTACGGAAATATTCAAATACATACTCTTAAGAGGATGCTACCCACGCGTTTGTTGTCTCTGTCTTACCAACTCACGACATAGAACGTTTTCGTTCACTAGTTTGAATAGTGTGTCGTTAGTTTTGATATTAGAGTGAATTTAAATATTATCAAATTTTTAGGTATGCACATTATCTATGCCTGAGTGCCAGTGGATTTACAATATTTTCATTTTCAAGCAAGATATTGTCATACAAGCCACAAGGACATAATAGGTGGCATGGTAAGAGATACTGAATTATGTAAATAATAAAGCACATACAATTTAGATGTGGCTGAACAGAGTAACTGTACATCTTCATTCTTCATTGCACACTTTTTTCTTAAAACAATTTTTATATTTATTCAGTAAAGGAAATAACTACTGTCCTATATTTTGAATAGTTCAATTTAATTACAACGTCAACAACTAATTTTCATTCAAAGGTTGTTTGTTCGTGAGATACAGTTATTATTATATTAGTTTAATCTTACTATTAGTGTACGGTAGGTAAGTATAGGTTAAACAAATTGTTGCCAAAAGAAAATCGATATTATCATTTAAATAGGTACCTATTATTATTTATTGCATGTAATATGATTAACTGACAGCTGATACCTAGATATAGTAGCTGTTATTAATTTATACTTATTGGATATTTAGATGCGAATTTTATGTACTTTAAAATGTAATAATATAGGTTATCTTTAATGAGTGCTTGGATGTTAGCCCTTAACATGGCCTTACATCATTAAATAATTATAAACTAATACTAAACTAATATAAAATAAATCTGTTGTAATTTCTGTTTTCGGGGATGTAGTTATGCGCCTCGGCGACAACACCCAAAGCACTTAAGCACTGGAGAACCGCCCGCTTGACTCCCTTCCATGCGGTGGTAAACCACGATCGCCGGCGAGTGACTTGCATCTTAAATGAATTCACTTCCTGGTCCAACCGTCCTACTTGCAGATTCCCGGAACTATTCCTCATCTCAGGTCCCTTGGCTGAATCCATCTTCAGTCTTCACTTCTTCAAGTAACGCAGTGGAATCGCCGTCCGGAACTTCCTTGATAATCTGCGGCAACGCTGTCTCGTTACCATCACCGGACGTCATAGGTTCTAGTTCATTGTCATCGTCCTGGATGATCTGCTGTAATGTTGTCTGCACGTCCTCGTCACTACCGGACGTCAGGTTACAAATACACGTTAACGGTATTTACGGTAATACAATTGATAATAAATATTTAAAAAGATAATCACAATCTCCAAAGTGAAGCCAATTCATAGTGTAACAATAACATTTAAAACAACTCAGGATAGTTTATCATTTACTTCAAGTAAACATAAAGTTGACCAGGAAGAGTTTACATATTTCCTTTGGGTAAACATAATATTGAACCGGGAGAGTTTACCATCGGAAAAGTTTACAAGTTTTAAAAATCAGGAGAGTTTACCACCGCCCAAATTATTATAATTATTAGTCATTGATTTTGACACGTATTCTAATTTACAATTTAATTAGGTATTTTTTCAATTGAACACACAATAACAAAATATCCTTTAAATCTTATAAGATATATAATTGTATGTATGACTATTACTATTACTACTCTAATAAAAAGTAACAGTCAATTTTAATTTATGAAATAATTACTGACACTGAGATAAAAGTATAATATTATACTACAGACTACAGTTGCTACTGATTAGGACATTCGCATTGAATATACTAATCACAAAAGACTATGCGAAGTATAATATTTAAAATGTTTATATGAAATATTAAATTTAATATTATTAACTTTTAAATATTAGGTAATGTTGTAATCCTAAGTATTCACATAAAAAATAAAAATGTATTCATAAAATTTTAAATACTATTACAAACCACTAAAAAAAAATTGAATAGTTCAAAGTGGGACGCAATTCGTGCTATACCTTTATTTAAAGAGAAGTGTGAGACGCAATTCATGAGCAACGCATTATGCAGATGTAACATGTAAACTAACATATGACAATGTATTATACATGTAGTATGTAATATGTACAATGCACTTAATTTCACAAAGACAAAGATTTTTGTCTAATCAACTACAAAAACATTTTCATTGGCTGTGAGCTGTATTGAGCTGAAACGTTTCATCTACATATTATATTTAAGACAATATTTTAGATATAAATAATATAATATATTTAGCTAATTTTTATAATTTTATTATAGCAAAGCTTAGTACTTGTATTTTTCAATTTACGTCTAATGTCTCTACCACTACAGTCTGTTTGAAATTCATTGAATCCTTTCCTTTTCAACGACTTGTGTCAATGTGGCAAGATATATCATTAAGTTAAGTGATTGAGGTTAAAAAATCAAAATAATTATTTGCAGTGTAATCTTTTAAAAGAGTTTAGATGTAATTTTTGCAATACATAAATAGGATAACCAAATTATACATAAAATTGGTATTAGTAAAAGAAATACTATGTCAAACAAAAAATACTGCATATCATTTAATCCCACGGAGTCACCTTTAAGATGTCCGGCTCCTCCATTCCGAATGACGTATTCGACCCAGTACACAGCTCGTTCTAAAGGTTTCATCGGTTCATCCCTGTAGACACAACTCTGGATTTCCGCATTCTTTTTAAACCTAATTCAAGAATATTCAAATTTGTTGTAGGTACTTATATGCAGTGTGGTACAATATATGATAAATTAATTGTACTTACTTTGGATTCGATAATACTTCATTGATGGCATTCCCAAATGATTCTTCCGTAATTTTAAAAAAATCTACTAGTTTACCATAGCCTTTACTTTCTATAAACTTCATGTTTAAATGCTGATCACCAAAAAATGGTATAGCTACTACAGGTTTTGCGTGATAAACGGTTTCCTCTAAACTATGTGAACCCCCGTGAGTTATGAAAAGTCTGACATTTGGATGTGCTGTAAAGTATACATAAGTGTAAAGTGTTATTATGAATCATGTTATCATGAATGGTATTTTATATTGGTAGAGCAAGAGCATCTTTAGAACATAATTCAGGGAATTTAAAGTTGGAAAAGACCATTGTTTACAAAATTATAAACAATAAATGAAAAGTTAATATAAGTAAATCAAACAAAAAAAAGATTGATCGGATCACTCCCCTCAAATACGTTCCAAAGTCGCAGCGTAGGTACTGACATATATTTACCTAAAATATCACTTTGAGGAAACCACGAACCAGTCATAACATTTTGAGGTAACTTTACACTAGCATTTGGTGTCCATTTTAGTATTACTTTTTGTTTTAATTTTTCAATAGTGCCCAGAAAAATATTCAATTTTTCTTTTGGTAAATGATTTAAGTTAATCACAGAACCAAAACTGAAATAAACTACTCCATGCTCTGCTGAATCTACAAAAGTTTGAAGATCCTAAAAAAAAAAATAAAACAACACATTATGTATACATTGTTTTTTTTAAGAAGATGAAATATTTTATTTTGATAGGAGCCTAGATGCTAGACTGTACAGAATAATTATGTACACTGTTTTTATTTTATCAGCGAATAGCTTCAAACATTCAAAAACAACTATTTAGGTATACAAAATAATATCACATCACATCATAATACGAGTAAATATCAGGTATATGCTATTCTCTTGTTTTTATTATTTTATCTACTAGATGGGTATAATCCGACTTCACACAGTAAAAAATGAACAAATATTAAATATAGCGTTATATTGGTGTGTCTTGGTTTTAGTGTACTTCAGTTCAGCCTCTGGTATATATTGAATGCTAAGGTATATCTATTTTCTACCTTTCTGACATCTCTTAGAACAATCTTGTTTTATGTATACTGTAAAATATGTCAAGTCCCCGGCATCCATAATTTAAGCTGTATCTTGATCAGTCAGCCAGGAAAAAATCGATTACGTATATATGTAGATTAAGGGTTATCAATAGTTGAAGACGACAAATTAATTTTTTTATAAATACATTTTTAAAAAAATGTTTAATAATAATAAACAATATTTCTACTGGTTATATTATTAACATAGTACCTATATTTGTATTTAACCAATGACAACCCTACAAATAAAAATGAAAATAATAATATGTAAATAATATTATAGTAATTTTATGAGCTAAAAATTTATGGTCGAAGAGTTATCCTTTCGCTACTTATATGGGTTGAAAAAGTAAGCTATACAAACAGTAAACACCCTTGAAGTCTCAAAAAAAGTATCGAAATATTTTTTGTTGAATAAAGTCCATAGTTGTTGAGTCTATTAATTACAGACCGACAGACAAACAAACATTTGTATATAGATAAGGTTGATTGCTATATGATAATTCACATACTAAATAAAATGTAGTTAGTAATAGTACCTACCTAATATTATATAATTTATTTTTAATTTAATTTTAGTTTAATCATTATTTAACAATATTAAATTAATACAAATCTAGGAGTATTTAAATTAATAATATTGTCACTTCCATATGGATCGTTTAAATAAAAGTTCAGTATTATTTAAAATGTGTTGGCAATAAAATGTAGAGTTGAATTAATCAAAAATTTACAAACCTACACATATAATGCCACAAATGTGACTTTTCCCATATGCCCACAAAGTTAGGACTTACGTAGATATCGAATACTACAGTATGTAGTACCTACAATAGGTATACTAAATAAGCCATACATACCCCAGACAGGGACTTGGACTCTTTGATGTGCATACCACCTATATCAATAACACCTGGGAGATATGGTCTGGAAACACCGATCACATGATGAGAGTTGACTAGTGTTAAGGACACATTATTCAACATATCTTCAAGTGAAGGCCTGGATTCCCACCCTTTGTATGTGAAGTGTGTATCCATTACTTCCTTAATTTTAGGTAAATACAAATAATTTTCTACATACAGCTGCAACACTCCAGTAATGGTGTTTTTTAAACGTTGCGTGAAACTCATATCACTTGTTGTTTCCAAAAGAATATTTGGTATGTACGAGAATGTGGAAGGGACGTGTATCCATTTGCTAATACTGCTCCAGAGTATGGCTGGGACCAGATTAATAACTGGTGCGTTGAATTTATGGCCTAAGGCCACAGTATATTCTTGACAACACGACTCTATTATAACTAAATCGAACGAGTTGGAATTCATTTCGAGGAAATCTACCATTGATTTATGAGCCAAGACTTTCGTAAATGTTACGCCAACTGTCCATACCCACAGAGCCGATGCCACAAAGTTCTTGCCCATCATTTCCAAAACATTTCTTTCTAAAACAAATCAGTTATACATAGTATTATCGCAGAGGCGTCATTTCAATTTTTTGAAAGGTATGCTAATAACTAGTCAGTCTAATATATATTGTACTATGGAGTTATTATAAACAATTTTTCAAGTAATTATTCAAATTTGATCTTCATAGTTTTCATTTAACAATCTAATGTATTATTAATATCGTATACCTAATAATACTAAGTATTAATACTGCCTTCAATATTCTAAAAATTTAAAATCCACAAAATTTTCTTTTCATAGCTAATATTAAAAAATAGAAGATTCCTTACGATTCCTGTAACAAAAACAAAGTTTAATGGAAATTTACGCTGTTTATAGCTATAAGGTATTTTCAATTTGTATAAATTGTTTTTTTAAATGATCAAATCTGATTATTTATAAATGGACATAGGTAACATCTTTCGAAAATCTTTCAGAATCGTTTTTTCATATCTACCTGCTACCTGTGCGATGATTTATAATTGAATTCAAATATAAGATATCCTTTATAATGAATAATGTCATACTTGACAACTACTATAGGTACAGTGGAGCGGAACTGGTTTTTTTATTGTTATAATTGTTTAACCTTGTTACTCTTTTGAATGGCAACATCCATTTTTAATTTCACATGCCAAAGAAGAATATTATTCTGAGTATTTTTCAGATGAAACGTACCTATTTTGTCTACAAATATTGTTTTTAACGACTTAAATTTAAAATTATGTAAGAGAAATATTTTTAAAAACGTTAGTACTGTAAATCAAAAATAATGAGTGTCTCACGTTAAATGTATCACCTGGTAGGTTTATATTATACAGGTAGCATTAAAGGTATTAATAGGTATTTTTTTTTTTTAATGTTCTCCCTTCGTGTTATAAAAATAAGGTAAAATAAGGGAAAATGCCAATACTTACCTATTATGAATAATCAGGAAAAAATAGAATATTTATTCTAGACATGTAACTATTTTATATCGAATTAGGATTCAAATATATGTTGTACAAGGGAGTCCAAAAATTAGTTATATGCAAGTCGTGAGTCTGCAGGGTCTATTTTGATATATCTTTCTTATATTATATTATATGACATGCTTTTATTATTATAACGGTTAACAAACCATGTCCTTTGGAAATAAATGGTCCTATTTCCGTGTAGTTGGCAATCTGACGATTTTCAGGGTAAGAAGTCACTACGGTTACATTGTGTCCTCTACGTGACAGCTCTTCGAACAACGGTTGAAATCCACGAAAATGGCTTCTAAACGGCATCGGCATAAACACTAAAATGTTTGACGCATTTGCGACGGCGATCGCTGCACACACAATTGTACAAAAAAACATGCTTGGCAACATTTTGTACGTAAAAATGCAAAAACGTAATAACTTTTAATGAGTATTATTATATTATTATAAAATTTCATGTACGATTAATGGAAGGAAAATTTTTGATTTTTTTTTATATAGGTACCTATAATAGTAAAATACATACTACAGGTCACCGGTTGCATAAAACATTTGCCATCTATGATCAATTTGTTATTAGTAGTGTGTTACATATTGTATGTATAATATAATTTAAAGAATATGAATATAATATGTTATCTCGAGTACGAGATAATAAATAATGTGCTACTGCCTACGATCGTCGTGACATCGAATATGATTTCCCCCACCTGCCTCCATGTTAAACTGAAATTATGTTTGTCCTTATCTGGGCCGCGCCCGTCATAATTTTCAGGAATAATTTAATTTTGTAACTACTGCCTAAAGGCCTTAAGTATACGGTCTATATGCTACTGCCAGTTAGACCGTATATTTTGTTTTATATAATAATAAATTGAAATTTGATACAATTTTAAAAATGTCACAAAAAAAAAGATCAACTGGCAATAAAAGCCCCATGTCAGCGTATGAAACAAATTACTAAAAAACAACATTAAATATTAAAGAGTCATAATAATTTTGATTTGTATCAAAAAAGGAGTGGTCCACAAATCTCTAGCTAACTTACGAATATGTAAGTAGGTAAGAACTTTCCTTAATTTACATTGTTTTTGTGTAAGGTACTTATACTTATACTTATCTTCTCTAACGTTGTTTTATACATACTACAAATATTTACTTTTTGTACAATGTACTTACTAGATTTGTTTTTAAAAATACTAGAACATTATTTGAATACTAGATGGTTTATAATAGTAAATTGTTTAAATTATAATAACATTGTTTTTTTACAATTGTAGATTCAGTGTCGCCTGACACTCCAAAGGGCCATAATAAGTTTTTAAGTAGCCCCATAATGAACGACTTTGGGGGCCCTATAAAAAAAATTGTTCCTAGAAATTACTTATGGTTAAATATTTTAATACATACTTTGCAAAGTCCCTACTCCTGATATAGTAAATAGACCTGGAACACACCAAACAAATAAAAAATTTACGAGACCCACCGAAAAAAAAATGGAGGTGTCTAGGCAGCATATGCTGCACAGCAGCCATGGCCTGGCCAACACTGATTGTAGTAGGTAGGTACTAAGGGATGAGCATGATACTCAAAAATCATTATCGCCATGATAGGTACTTGGCTTTGGAGTATTAGGATACTAGATACTCGATACTTACATTTTAAGTATTTAGATACTCGATACATTTAAATAAAATTAATCACGGTTTTTTTAGAAATGTTATTTATACACATTAGGAATATTTTTTATAAGTTTATAAAGACTACAAAATTTAGTAACTTCATAGTAATAACTAATAATAATATTGTATATTTCTACAACACAATGATTGGCGTACATAATTGTTTAGCAACCTATAGTCTTAAACTACTGAAATCAATAAATAATTACTTAATTATCAAACTAGCAGATATTAGTATTATAATTTATAATTATATTGCTATTATAATATTGTTATAACTTATAATACTACTATACAAAAAAATTGATATTAAATTATATCAATAAAAATAAATTGTCTGTCTTAACATATAAACTTTTAAAAATTAAACGCAGCTGGTAATACAAATTAATGTTTTTTTTTTCATTTTTGTAGTATGTGTAGAATCTATATTGTTTTATATCAGCCACCATGTATAAGTCCACTTTCCACTATGTTTTATAAAAAATACTGATTTACATATTATACAAAATACTTTTTCGACTTTAGTAGCGTCTCTTAAAAAAGAAAATTCTGATTTAAAATTTGGAGTGAAAATCCACCTTCTTTCTTGGCATTTTAAAAACAAATAGGCAGATACGAAAAATGTATATTTTTATAAAATTGTACTTATTATTATTATTTATACCACACCACGACGACTTCCCCATAACTATTACTGTCGTGTACAAATAATAATGAAAAATAAAATATATTTAAAATATTTTACATACACAAAATATTAATAATTATGGATATTATAAAATAAAAAGGTAATTAATGTAATATAGTCTGCTACACTCACACATTTGACCACTTGATCGGTAAGATTGTAAATAGCACAACGTTATACGTTGCTGACAACAAAAAAAAATTCTAAAAAAATCCAAAAAAATCACTAATGAGTACTTACCTTATAAGATTCTAATATTCTATTGAATAATGTCATACAAAATATCGAAAGTAAAACGATTTTAATATAACATAAATCATAAGTTTTAAATATACAGGACTAACAAAATGCGTCTCGTATAACTTTCGCCGGGAAAACAGGACAATCCAGTATATACGGAACGTATACTTTCATTGGTCACCCAACTACCCTAGCGTCTATACCACTAGGGTGATAGGTTACAAAATCCGTTTGGAATTTTTTCTATCCGATCCGTTTCTATGACTCATGTCTTATAACAAATGATCACGTTACATTAACGTAAATGATTGAGATTCAAAATAATTATGTGCAGTGTTGTCTTTTAATATAGTTTGGATGTAATTTTTGCAATAAATAAATAGGATAACCAAATTATACATAAAATTGGTATTAGTAAAAGAAATACTATGTCAAACAAAAAATACTGCATATCATTTAATCCCACGGAGTCACCTTGAAGATGTCCAGCTCCTCCATTCCGAATAACGTATTCTACCCAGTACACAGCTCGGTCTAAAGGTTTCATCGGTTGATCTCTGTAGACACGACTCTGGATTTCCGCATTCTTTTTAAACCTAATTCAAGAATATTCAAATTTGTTGTAGGTACTCATATGCAGTGTGGTACAATATATGATAAATTAATTGTACTTACTTTGGATTCGATAATACTTCATTGATGGCATTCCCAAATGATTCTTCCGTAATTTTAAAAAAATCTACTAGTTTACCATAGCCTTTTCTTTCTACTAATTTCATGTTTAAATGCTGATCACCAAAAAATGGTATAGCAACTACAGGTTTTGCGTGATAAACAGTTTCCTCTAAACTATGTAATCCTCCGTGAGTTATGAAAAGTCTGACATTTGGGTGAGCTGTATAGTATGCATAAATGTTTCAATATTTGGAAATACAATACTAGTACTTTGCATGAGGTATTTTATCTTGGTAGAGCAAGAGCATCTTTAGAACATAATTCAGGGAATTTAAAGTTGGAAAATACCATTGCTTACAAAATTATAAACAATAAATAAAAAGTTAATATAAGTAAATCAAACAAAAAAAAGATTGATCGGATCACTCCCCTCAAATACGTTCCAAAGTCGCAGCGTAGGTACTGACATATATTTACCTAAAATATCACTTTGAGGAAACCACGAACCAGACATAACATTTTGAGGTAACTTTACACTAGCATTTGGTGTCCATTTTAGTATTACTTTTTGTTTTAATTTTTCAATAGTGCCCAGAAAAATATTCAATTTTTCTTTTGGTAAGTGATTTAAGTTAATCACAGAACCAAAACTGAAATAAACTACTCCGTGCTCTGCTGAATCTACGAAAGTTTGAAGATCCTAAAACAAAAAATAATACAACACATTATGTATACATTGTTTCTTTTAAGAAGATGAAATATTTTATTTTGATATGAGCCTAGATGGTAGACTGTACAGATTTATTTACATTGTTTTTATTTTATTAGCGAATAGCTTCAAACATTCAAAAATAACTATATGGGTATACAAAATAATATCACATCACAATACGAGTAAGTATCAGGTATAAGCTATTCTCTTGTTTTGATTTTATTATCTACTAGCTGCAGTGTACTCTGACGAATCCATGTACAAATTAACCAAACTGAAAACCAATGACGAATGTCTAAAAAAGGCGAAATATGAATATATACGAAAACTAGTAGATGAATATGAAGTAACCATATTGTCATTACAGAAAGGAAAACCCATGTTGCTCCTGTGTAAGAGCGTTATAGGTATTCAAATCCAATTTCAGAAAGTTCAAGGATTCCAATCAACACCTATACAATAAATATGGACTATGTATTTACATCAAGTCAGAAATTACACAGTTAAGTAGGGTTCTAGTATCATTGTAGAGAATCCCAGTAAACATAAGTATAACTTTGTATGAATACACGTAGAAATTATTCGTTTAATAATGGTGTACTATAAGTTAAAATAGGTTGATTTTACGTTGATCGTATGGGGATTATTGGTTAGTTGAACTTACGTCGATATGTAGATAAGTATTAACGTATAATTTACAATAAATTATGTTATTTAGTATTATATCAGTACGAATGTCTACCTTATTTAGTTTTTAGCTAGTGGATAGTTCACTATACATTTAAGAAACATTGACAATAAATATAAAATATGAAATGTTTATTGTTTCTTGAAATAAACAAAACACTAAGTATTATTAGAAATCTACAGGTAGATTATGCTCAACTGCATTAATAAATTCATTAATTATACGAAGAATCTAAATATGTTTGAAAAATATTCTATTGACAGGTTTCTAGATTAACTAAATATTAATTGCATAATATATTAGTAGGTAAAATATCAATAAGTTCTGCTCTAAATATATACTAACCTTACACAAAATATATCCATTCTATTAAAAAATATTAAATATTTTCTAAAAAATATCCACTGCATACTCTAAATATATACTACATTTATACGAAAAATATCTATCGTATATTCTAAATGTATATGAAGCTTATACGTAATATATCAAAAAAACGACATAATACTTACGCAGAATAGACGTTGATTAAACATGTACAACTAACAGATACTAAACGTTGAATATTCGTTAAATAGTTATCTTTTGACCCCATATTATACCACAATTATATTTTTTAACAACCAGACATCTGCGTGTATTATACGTTAGTTCGTAAATGATAAACGAATATTTAACGTATAAAATACGTAAAAATGTTTACTGGGATACAGTCACAGTAGCACTGAATATAAATAAAGTCAATATATACAACACCTACAAACCATCAAACACGCATTGGGAAGGAAACTCTCGTCTTTGGTTGAAAACACTAAGTTTGTCCTGGTTACAGCCTTCGGTGGACTTAAATAGCCATAACATCACTTGAGAGCATCATAGAAGTGGGGAACTGGAGAGGTTCTTAAGGAAAAACTACCTATCAGGTTGGAGTGATGAATCAAAAAAACTCTACATAGAGTATACTAGCGTACTAGTATACTGTCTATCAAACTGTTGAGAATGGAAAATAGATATAGAATATTGATGATGTATACTTCATATTAATATAGATAATATTAAGAACCTAATGGCTACATAATCCTTACTAAATAATATTTATTGTGTAAGCAGTTATAGTTATGAACCTACATATAATAATACAATTTATTTTGAATTTAAATTTGATTTATACACTATTTGACAATATTAAACAAGTAATAATAATATAGAACATTCGAATTAATAATAAAGTTGTTTACACGGATCAACAAAAGTTCAGTATTTTTTAAAAATGTCATAGCAATTATTTTTAATTGAATTGATCAAAAATTAATATACATCTATATAATTCTACAAATGTGACCGGCCCCATAAGGCCATATAGTTGGGACTTGGGAGCCAAGGAGAAAAATAATAAAAAGAATGCAAACAATATATGTAGCATGTATTGTATTGTACCTACATAAGCTATACTAAATAAGCTATACATACCCCAGACAGGGACTTGGACTCTTTGATGTGCATACCACCTACATCAATAACACCTGGAAGATATGGTCTGGATACACCAACCGCATGATGAGCGTTGACTAGTGTTAAGGACACATTATTCAACATATCTTCAAGTGAAGGCCTGGATTCCCACCCTTTGTATGTGAAGTGTGTATCCATTACCTCCTTCATTCTAGGTAAATACAAATAATTTTCTACATACAGCTGCAACACTCCAGTAATGGTGTTTTTTAAACGTTGCGTGAAACTCATATCACTTGTTGTTTCCAAAAGAATGTTTGGTATGTACGAGAATGTGGAAGGGACGTGTATCCATTTGCTAATACTGCTCCAGAGCATGGCTGGGACCAGATTAATAACTGGTGCGTTGAATTTGTGGCCCAAGACCACAGTATATTCTTGACAGCACGATTCTATTATAACTAAATCGAATGAGTCGGAATTCGTTTGGAGGAAGTCTACCATTGATTTATGTTTCAAGACTTCAGTTAATATTTCGCCGAGTTTCCATACCGACAAAGCCGACGTCACAAAGTTCTTGTGCATCATTTCCGTAACATTTCTTTCTAAAACAAATCAGTTATACATACATATCATGACTGTTATTGAAGAGCTTTGTGCAAGAACCAGACAAGTCCAGTTTTCGTCAAAAAGTCAGTAATTAGTATCGGAAAATCAAATATGAGCTAAATTTAATATTGGTATTATACTTATAACAGACTATTGTTTTTTATTAATTTGTACCACAATATTTTCACAAACTGTATCAAAAAATGTATTCAATTCGTTAGCAATATCAGCAATAGCTGTCACTATTTTATTTTCAAAATCAAAATTTGAAGAAATATTTATCTTTTATTATTGTCTACTTAATTAAATATATTCCAAACCTTTTTAACCGCCCGCACACAAATTTCTCTCTTCGCTGATGATACAATCATCTTCACGGAATCACGCAACATCGAAGCAATAACTACAAATCTGCAAGATCACTTAAATACCCTCTCACACTGGTGTCAAAACTGGAGGATCCAAATCAACGCCTCGAAGAGCATAGTAGTCATTTTTAGTCAACGTCGCTATATTACTCCCCCACAACTAAAATTTGACAGTGAAAATATACCATGGCAACCAACGGTTAGGTTAATACCTAGGTTTAACTCTTGACAAACGACTCACGTGGCGGCCCCACATTTCATCCAAAGTCCAGCAAACATACCAGCGCATCTCAATGCTTTATCCTATCCTGAACAAAAATTCAACAATACAAAAAATTGCTGTCTCCTAATTTTAAACAAATTATACGCCCAATTCTTCTCTACGCTTACCCGATATGGAATAATTGTGCATCCTCGCACATCAAAAAAATGCAAATTGTCCAAAACAAAGACCTCAAAATAATTGCAAATGCCCCATGGTTTGTCAGAAATGCAAATCTCCACAAAGACTTTCAAATCCAAGAAATCCAAGATCATATTAAAACATTAGCAAAAAATGTTATATTTACAGCCTATTGACTTATATATATTTTTAGAGAAATATATAGCGCTTTAGCGCATTTAATATCTTTTGTTAATTGGTTTCTATATTTTGTGTACTTAATTTTAAGATCAGAACTATTGAAAGGTTGTTTTTTAATTTATTAAATACGTTTACATCTTATTGAGATTACTATACCGTATATTTTATCCATTTCTTAATTTTTATTTTAGATTTAGGTAAGCCTGTATGACATAAGTTCCAAATGTACAAAAATTACATATCATTATATCATTTTCGCCAAAAATTGTAGAACATAAGCGCCCATCTAATTTTTTTTTCCTGTTATACCCAACGTTGTCATACGCATAAAACGTCAAATGCCAAAAGTATACATCATTTTCATAAATCATTTAATTTTTTCAATTTTTTCAAAAATTTTCAATAATATACATATAAATAAAATTAAGGTAGATTAGTTGATTTTTTTTAAATGTTTTAATAATATACATACAAATAATTAATAAATATAATTTTAATAAATTGGTTGATTTCTACGAATACGTAGATTAAGATTAAACGTTTGGAGTTTTTGAACGATATAGTTCTAAATTTTATATCTGTTGGATCAACCTAACCTACCTAGGACTTTGGCGCTTTCATACGATGCGATTTTAGTGCTTTCGTACGATAAGGCCTTTTTTTTCTTATATCATTTTGGCACTTATGTCTTCCACCGACCTATACCTTTTAGATTCTGAGTGGAACGATGAATGTATTGATTTTACAATGATGTGTTTTTTTTTTATTTATTTATTTTTTTATTTTTTTTTGTGTCTGTCGTCACCTTTTTAGGACAGTAAAACTGCTTCGATTTTCTTTAACAGCAACTTTTCTGATTGGAAAGTGAATCTAGTTGGTACTTTGGGAGTCAAAAGTAAAAATTTCCCAGTAGTTTTCAAAAGCGACGTGAAAAACAAAAGAAAAATTAAGGAAAAACGGGAATTTTTACGCAAAATCGATTTTGGTTTTTAGTGCAACTCTAAAACAAATGGCCGTAGATATATGAAATTTTCACAGGTTGTTTATATTTGCATTTTCTATACACGGTAAAATTTTGAAAATAATTTGACTCTTTTTGAACTGTCTACGGACATTGTCAGTTTTCAATTTTTTTAATTTTTTTTTTCTATAAATATCAATAAAATTTTATTTGTTGGTTAAAAAGACTTGAAAATTTAATACAAGGCTCCTAGTATATTGTTTCAAAAATAGATGAAAAAAATTAAAAATCCTTAGTCACAGTTTTTTTTTATAAGCATTTAAAGTTCAAATATTGACAAAATACGTAAAAACGACGAAAATTCGGAAATTATTTTAAGTTAGAAATTCATAAAAAATTTTGTTTTTAAATCTAAGATTTTAAAATTTAATACAAGATTCCTCATAAATTTGTCTACCTTTATCAAAAAAAAAATTTTTAGAAGAAAGTCAAATTAAATTTTTATGAGCGTTTGAAATTCATATTTTTATTTTTTACAACATTTGATATTCACTCGATTTCTCATGTAACGATTTTCTGTTTTTGTTGTAATTGAAAAACGAATGGCTGTAGATACTTGAAAATTTCACTGAATGTTGATATTAGCATTTTCTAAACACGATACAATTTTGAAAACAATTTGACTCTTTTTGAGATGTTTACGGACATTGTCAATTTTCAATTTTCTTAGTTTTTTTTCTATAAATACCAATAAAATTTTATTTGTTGGGTGAAAAAGCTTGAAAATTTAATACAAGGCTCCTGATATATTTTTACAATAGCAATTGTAAAATATTTAAAATACATAGGCACAATTTTTTTTTATAAGCATTTAAAATTCGAATTTTGACTTAGATATATTGGTATTAATATGTCTTAAACCAACACTGACATACCGTCTCCACTCAGAATCGTTTTTCTTATACAATGATATTGTATCATTGAATTCAAATTTAATTCCATCCATTATACAGTGACCCACTTGTAACCTACTGTACAGCAGAGCGACATCCACTTACCCGCTTTTTGTTAGTTTACACCTTTTTATATAATTTTCTATCTAAGAAAAATAATTTTAAATTGCAGTATTTACATATTTTGTCGAAGTTAACATTAACCCGATTTTCATTATTATGAATGTTGTAAGTTTACCAAAAAAATATAGTCGATCGATCGATTTTCATCAATAAAATATTATTGCTCTGTATATTAAAACCATTTTTAAAGATATAATTGTACTATAATGATGAGTTGTACTATTTTCATAAACATAGGTACTTACCCCATTATATAATATATAATGAAAATCAATTACATTTTTTTTTTAAATGACGTGATCAAGACAATTTAAGACCCTTTTATATAATTTACTCTAATGTCTTCATTATTAATGTAGGATTAAAATACGTAATAACTCAGAATATTTTGGTATCTAAATTTATTTATATCTATTTTATTTAAATCAATATTTATATATTATATCACCACAGAATATATACCAATTAGTTTTAGCAATACCATCCAAAAAAGTCTTGCCATGTTTGCTCCCATGTGTATTTATGATTGTAACATTCAGCAACTTCTATAGTTTTTGTTGTTTTGAGTTAGCTGGTCGTTATTGAATTCCTTGGAGTTACCAAAATTGATATGAATTTTTATCTTTGAAACGGGACTTCATATTCTTGAATTAATCTTTAACTGGTTTTGAATAAAATCGTACAACTATTCTTTCATCACTATTTTTACGTGGTTTACTATTGCAGGAATATTCATATTCCAACGCAGAATATTATTAAGGGTATTTTTATCTATAAAAATCAAATTTCGGACAACTAGCTTATTAGTTATAACTTTATAAGCATTTAAAGTTTCGATGAGAGGAGTAGTGGGCCATCATTTTGCGAGGTATTTTGGTACCATCCATTGTACTACTCCACTCCACTCATCATCTATATTTCAAAAAATTATAACTCATAAGTCATAAACTAATAATACTCTGCTTTGGAAAATGAATTGCGCGATGTCATTCAAAGGATTAAAAACTTTTAAAATGATAATGATAAAAAAAATGGTAAAAAATATAATTATTTTCTAATATCTTTCTTATGTTGCATATATGACATGCTTATATTTTAACAGTTAACAAACCATGTCCTTTGGAAATAAATGGTCCTATTTCCGTGTAGTTGGCAATCTGACGATTTTCAGGGTAAGAAGTCACTACGGTTACATTGTGTCCTCTACGTGACAGCTCTTCGAACAATGGTTGAAATCCACGAAAATGGCTTCTAAACGGCATCGGCATAAACACTAAAATGTTTGACGCCTTTGCGACGGCGATTGCAGCACACACAATTGTACACAAAAACATGCTTGGCAACATTTTGTATTTAAAAAGGCAAAAATGTAATAATTTTAACCGAGTATTATTATTTATTATATTAGTATAAAATAGTACGATTAGTGGAAGGAAAATTTTTGATTTTTTTGATGTAGTTACTAAGTGCCTTTCACGGGTACTACAGGTTGCACGTTGCATAACACATTTGCCATCTATGATCTATTTGTTATCATTAATATGTTATATATATTTTATGTATATATATATATATATATATATATATATATAATAATTTAAATAAGATGATATCTCAACTACGAAATAATAATAATATAATGTATACATTAATGTTCTGTAACATATAAATATGACTGTAACGATTCGATATACAGATGGGCAGAAAAATAAATAATTATGAAATGGTTCACAATTCAAATTTATAATAGGTTTTAGGTAGACCTATAACCTATGTACACTATATAAAGTGAGGCTCGTTCAATTATAATATTTTATCTTCGTCAGAACTTCATATTTTATCGCTGTAGGGTTCAGGACTTAAGTAACAATATTGCATTAAAATTGAAAATACATTCTCACATACAGAGTGATTTATTAAGCACCATTCTCTTTCCAGTTTTTTACTCCAGTGAGGAATTTATTTAAATTTCGATATTTTTACCTACATTAAGACCACATTTCAAATCCTTAAGATTTTTTGTACTATTTAAGGAGAACTTGTGGTGATAAAAACTTCTTTTTTGAAAATTAGATCAGGCACGTAGCTAAAATTAAGCAATTATTGGAGCCTAATTATCGTGAACATTTACTCCACCCCACCCACCACTAGGCATTAATCTAGTACAAAATTTTTTTTTTTATTGTTTACAACATAATTTTACATTCTGGGTAGAACGATAATGAAGCTATTTTCCATTCAAATTTGAAAGTCTGCTCATTAATGAGTTGAACTACGACGATTAGCGATTTCCATAGATCTCAGATATTATAATATGATAAATCTATGAACGTTGTACTCAGTATGTAATCATATTTTCCTTTTTATGGCTTCATCGTATTTAGTAAATAATAATATACGATATTGGGTTTTCGAAGAATAATTTATGTGTTCGCAAAGTTCACCAAAAATATAAGTTCGTTCACGTTCATTGAAAAAATGAATACCTCCACTTGGTTCATTTAATTTTTGTAATTTTTTTAGTATAAGAATTTTATATTTTTAATAATATTTTAAACATATATTTGTCAAATGGTATTTGGTAAAGACATTGAGTGTCATAAAAATATAGTTCACGTTCACGTTCAAATTGAAAAAAAAAGTGACGTTCGTAATTCGTATATCGTTCACTTAATATGAACGTGAACGTATGAACATGCGTTTATGAACTACGTTCTTACCAAACACTGAATTTATTGTATTGAATTAAGTACTTAGATACAGACAGGTTTTAAATTCAAAATTAACAATTTTGATTTCAATTTCACATATCAATTTTTTTTTATTTAAATTTAAAATGATTATTGAATATTGATATTAGATTTTGAATCATTTTTCTGTTTTTAGATTTAAAATTCTAATTTATAACTATATAATAGTGTTATAGAGGTCACACACATTTTGCAATGATCTCGACAACGTGATACAGCACTTACACGGTCACAAAACCACACACGTTATGTTAGCCAACCCGGCTATAATAGGTACGGGACCGCGTTACAAAAAACACAATATATTGTCATATTAACATACCTCTGTCGATTTCGATGTAAGCGGTGGCGATTTTACACACGATATGCATCGCCTGGAAAAAGTATATAGCCGAATACGAACCGGCAGCACAACTTAACGGCCAACTGGTAGGTATACACTATGCATCGTTCGTGCATCTGCCATCAAAGTTTGGGACTTTGGGTAGTCGCGTTTTGAATTGTGCACAACCACTTTCTCCCGGCGAATGGAACATACTTGCGATGAGCTAAAATTTAATTATGATGGACAATATTGAACATCGCACAGAACAAAATTCTACACTCTACATTTATATTTAAAATTGTTTTACCTTCTACTCGATGTCGGTAGTTGGCACGTCATGGTATTTTTTAATTTCAATAAAATGTCTATGGTATAGACATTTGAAACATTTAATATTTTCATTTTAACATTAAAAGTCCTGCATTCGAGGTATTACAAACACTGCTATACTGTTTTTGGGGAGGGTTTTATTTTATATTTTGTCTAAGTCACTTGTGATAAAATACCTATAGTCCTGCTCACAAAAAGTGAACGTCCAAAGCCAATGGATTTTAGATTCTCAGCAAAGCGATGAATGTATTGATTTTACAATGATATATTTTTATTCGTGCATGTGTAAACGATAGCAAATTGAAATAATGCTTCAATTTTCAACATCTGTATCTTTTCCGGTGGAACTGTGGAAGTGTATATTATTGGTGCATTTGGGAAGTCAAAATTTAAAATTCCCAAAAGTTTTCAAAGGCGTGGAGAAAAACAGATAAAAAATTAAGTAAAAATGGTAATTAATTGGTTAAAATGGTTTAAGACAAAATCGATTTTAATTTTTGGTTTAACTCTAAAATAAATAATTGTGTATAAATTAAACTTTTACTGAATGTATTTATATTAGCATTTTTATACGCTATACAATTTTAAAAATATTTTCTCTCATATTGAGCTATTAATAGGCATATGACATTTTGGATTATTATAATATAATACTTTTTTTTAAAATTAATGTCGATAAAAATATTTTCGCTTTGTCAAAAAGATTCAAAATAAATTTTTTTATGTGCATCTGAATTTCAAATTTTGACAAAGTACTTAAAAATCATGAAAATTTCCAAATTATTTTGAGTTAAAATTTCATGAAACATTTTTTTTACATCAAAGATTTGAAAAATTAATTCAAGATTTCTCGTAAGTTTGTCTATTTTTATCGAAAAAAAGTCTACTGGAAAGTTAAATTCAATTTTATAAGGGTTTAAAGTTCAAATTTTTACAACATTGGATATTCACTCGATTTATCATTGGACGATTTTCTTATTTTGTTGTAATTAAAAAACGAATAACCGTAATACTTTAAATGTACACAAAATAATATTGTTTTATCATTTCCTATACTTGAGAAAATGTTCAAAATATTTTATGTTCAAACCATATTATTTGAAGCTGAAAAAAATAACAAAATGGAATGATTTTGGTTAATTGTGAATATGTAATAAAATTCAACTCCTAAAATATATGTTATTTGCTACCGCACAGTTTTATTTAACTCCCATCCCCCAAAAAATAATATACTCTAATAATTACCAATTAATATAATTACTGAAATACCTATGCAATAAACTGTACATACTGTCAAATTTAATAACTATAAAATCCAAAAAATGTACATAAATTAATTTTTCTTTTTTTTTTTGGTTCCTAAAATGCATTTGTCCGTGCTGCCCTTCCTTTTTTTCTTTAATTTAACCTTATTCATTTTTTGAACCCTGATAACTAGCATGCACCCTCTCATGAATAATTCCTTGATAAATAAATTATTGTAGATAATGTTATGGCTTTGTGCTCCTCTTCCCTTTGCACTGTTCATATTATAATTGTGGATAATATCCATGGCTTTTTACAATTTGGTTTTTAAATTTACTCTAATTATTGGTAAAAATAATTCATACATACAAAAAAATATTTGATTTCTAGTTCTCGAAACAAAATCCTTACATGAGCATATCAGGATACCGATTTAAAAAAATACTTTCTTAGTGCATCCTTACATTCTCCTGGTACTGGACCACTGCGGCACCATGAAAGTCTTAAGTCTATAGCGTATTAATCTTACCATATAGTTTTGACTGACTATACATTGTATATCATTATATCAAAGATGTCGCTTGCGACCAAATTATGAAACTAACAACTGCACGTTGCTCCGACCGTCAGAGATGCCGAGGGCGACCAAATGATGCTGCTGCTGTCTACACGATTCCGCGTATGACTACGATACCGCGGTAGACTAAATTATGCATTGATGCTGTGGCCAACTTTTTAATACCGCGGCTGATTACAAGAGGATGTGACCTACTGTACATTGTAATCAGTGTAGAAGCATTCAATCAACCATAATTTATAAAATAAAAATATTATATTGTAATAGAACATTCCATTTTTTATTTTTGTTCTTGAATTAGTTTGTAGCAGTTCTCCATACTTCGCTATAGTTGCTTAATGCTTTCAGGTCATTTTTTGTTTTATTCATATTATCCTTCATGATTTGTGTCATATACTCTGCCCTTGGTCTTCCTATTTTATTGTATAAAATGATGTATTCCAACATCTTCAATTATTGATTTTAGTACGCTTCCATGCCTTAAAGTCTGTCCTATCATTTGATCTTTTCTGGGCTGATAAATAGGCTCAAATAAGGGCGGGGGGTGTCTAAGACTCCATTCAAAAAAAATGTCTACAGCCTCCCTAAACATTTCCTACATCCTTTTTAAGCTTATCCAATATTATTATATAATATTGCTTCGCCCCCCTCCAAAAATCTCAAATTCTATTTGTGCATATGGACGAATACACTTTGCATAACTGTTTTTTCTTTTACTTTATCTAGTACCTCTTAATTTTTCAGTGGTCACCCTCTTGGTAAAGGGAATCTTTAGCATTTTCCTGAAGCACCACATCTCAAAGGCTTCCAGTTCCGACCAATTTTATTTACTTTTGAGTTGTCCTGGTTTTACATCTAAAAAGTGCCACACTCCATACTATGTATCTAAAACCTAATCATGTAAGCTTTTAGGAATTTCTTTCTTACCACCAATCTAATGCTATGAATAGTCAGTAGGTATTAAGGTATACAGCTTTTATCTAGGAAAACTCTTTTTGCCTATGCTATCTTACACATTATATTCATTTTGCTTCGTTTATCCTGTTACATTGCTATATTTGATTATCCTAAGTATTTAAACATAACTAAAATAATGTACTTGTTTCACTTGTCTATTGTCTACTATATTTATATTGAGGCTCACATCAGACGAGATAAGTTTTACTGCATATCATAATTTTTGTTTCCTTTTTGTTCAATTGCATTTCATAATTATTTATTTTATATTCTGTCTATTGATTATTTCTATTGCTTAATAGGGTATTTAGTAGATCTTCTGTTTTTCCTTGCAGAACACTATGTGGTTCTCAAATCTTCGGGCAGTAACAGACAACCATTTTTTCTCCTAATAAGATTTATAGATACATGATACATATTAATCTGTGGTCATGATGTGTGGACAATGGATATGGCCCATGCAAAATTGCAAACATATAAAAACACATTTCAAATGCATTAATGAATGCTTTTTCTAAAATATTATTCTTCAAAATTGTTTTTTTCACATAGAAAAAATATGAAAATCCCCAAATTTTAAATGAAAAGTACCCATAATTGATACTTTACCCTTATGTAAGGTATATACAAACCAATTGTTACAAGGAAGACATTTTCCAACAAATATTCAAAATATTTAACCCCGTAAATTTTCCAGATGTCGAATGCTCTTATGTTAATATGAGTTATTTTATGAAATATTTGTCGAGTATGAACTTAAGGTCTAAGAAGACAGTGACATTGTAAGTTATTTTGAGTTAAGTAGATATTATCATTTTAAATTAAGCTAAAATGACAAAAATAAATTGAAATATTATGCCGAGTTATAATTTAAGGTACTTTTAAAAAAATATTTCAATGGAAATTTAAATGTTGAGCGTTGGTAAAAATAGAATAATTCAAAAAAACATTCCATTCATCACTATGATAAAATCTATTAAACAAAAACTATAAACTATAAATGGATTAACATCAGTTTAAATCAAACTTATATAAAAAATAAATAAAAATAAAAGTATGTACTGTGTCGTAAAATAATTCATAAAAAATATAGAAGACAAAATTGTACATGTACAATTGGCTTTACAAATTGTTGTTGTTGTTTAATTTACAATATGTTACAATCATATTTCTTTATAGTTAAATAAAATACATAATAAAAAAATATACATTAGACAAGTATAATAGAAAAAATTACATATTCAAATTAACACAGGTAAAGAATTAAGAAATGAAAATAGGAATCCAGAAAGCATAATATTTAATTAAATTATGTTTACATTTTGCAAAAATAATATCAGTCAACATAGATTAAATGCCTAGTACTCTTTAGCTAAAAAAAATTGTTTGTTCCTGTATAAATATGATTTCTATTGTAACCAAAAATATAATACTTACAATTTGTTATTTAATAACAAAATGCTGACATCTCACAATAAATTATGTAAGTAGTATTTCTTAAAGTTTTAATCATTTTACCTGCAAACTATACTTTTACAGTTAAACAATCAGTAATTTATCTAATATTAATAAAAGAATAAAATATTTTTTCCTACAATCTATTTGTACAAAATTATAATTTAAGATTAAACATAATAATCATGTTTAGAATTGTAAAACGCTCCACTAACAAAAAACTATTTTAATATGAAAGCATAACATACAAAAATAATAATTAAGATGCCATTAAGTGTAAAGTGTACTTTTAAGAACTGATATAAGTTAAATATAAAGTAAATTTCTTCACCAATTAAATTTTACAATTAGTATTATTTAAAAAGAAATTAAATAAATACATAATATATAAATTAGATATAGGTACATCTAAGGTAATTAATAAATCATATATTAAAATCATTTATGGATATTTATCTTTAACTGTTATTTAAAAAAATATTAATTACCGTACCATTTATACAATAAAACTGGCATATCAAAACGTTTAGTAAATGTGTACTATATAATTAGTTACATTATTAGTTAAAATTCCTCAATATTAACTAAACAAATTAGTTAATAATCAGAATGAATATTGCTTACTTTTCTATTAAAAACAATAGGAAATATTCTAACTGTATTCTATTCATTTAGGGTAATATTCAAACTAATTAATGCATCAGAAACAAATTATAATTTTTCAATTATGTTGGATTTACCCTGTTAGGTATTTTTTACTTATAATTGCCTTTCATGTGCTCATTACTAAGACGTCTTAAAAACACTATTCCAGGTAACATTTTAACACATCAACATTAAATATTACATAATAATTTGGAAAATATAATATTAATAATACTTGATAGAAATGTAGTACATCCTCACCTTAAAAGTTACAGTAAATGGTTAGAGGAACGTCTTATTTATACTTAAATTTATTAACATAATAACTAATTTTTAACAAACCCTTTAGTTATCCACAAGAGTGACATGCACACCTGATGTTTCCATCCGTTGTAACCGTTTTGGATCACAGTAAATTAAACAATTTCCAACTTGATTTGTCTTTTGATTAAGTACAGAGTTTTCTCCGTCTTCATAAAATGTAATACCGGGTTGAAGAGCATATTTTTTCTTTTCAAGTCGTTCTTTGCTAGCAAACACATCATGTCTTTCTGTTTTTTTCCATAAATAATAAAAATGAACAAGTTCACCAACTGTTCTTGTAGTAACCCTGTGCTGCTGAATCAGATAGAAGTTTTTATTAAAGCAGCGAATACCATTTTCAAAATTTTTGCATTCTTCTTCTGACCACACCATCATGGCTCTTCGACCAAACATTTGATCATTTAATGAAACTCGGCGTAATGCTTCCTCAGTATTAAACCCACATTGCAAAAGTAAAAATAAAGCATTTTCATCATCTCGTACATGCTTACCTTTCGGTAATATATTTGAACCGTGGGAAATTTGATGAATATGATGTAGGTAGTCAGCAATAACTGCATCAGTTGTATTATGAGGATCCCAGAGAAGTTTATCAACGTTTTGGTATGGTGGATCATCTCCATACTTGGACAATCCATCAGGAATTTGTGCTTGATAATCGCTCCCAACCATTATTGTTTTCTTCTTCACTTCATCAAAATCACTGCCATCACTATCATCAGTAGGATCAGAATAATCAGGGCGATCGTTTGTTACTCGCTTGGACATAATTATAAGATTTCAAATCTAAAAAATGTATAATATATTTGTTAATTATGTACATTGTATTTAGTCTAAAATATATTTGAAATGTTACTACAATTATCTAATTTTACATACAATTACTATTTAGTATTATTTTAAGAGAAAGCTTCTTTTTTGAAGTACATTCAATAGTAGTTATTAAATTAATATCCTCTTCAAAAAAATTAGGATTGAAAATAAAAATAATAAATTATTAGTAAATCGTAACTTTGAAGTCTTAAGTATCAATTAACTCAAATAACCGAACACTGAAATACTAAACTCAGAACTATCCAACCTATATTAATTATTAATTATTATAAATCATAATGTGAAAAATGGAAAATGGAACTAATAAGTAACAACTATCATAGTATTGACGAATGACGAAAAATGAAGTATGAACTAATTTTATTGTTTATAAACAATACAATGCAATGTTACCAAATTTCTGGTCCCTGATAAACATATGTTTTTTTGTCGTCGATTTATATTCAATTTTGATAAAATTATTTCATGGAATAATAAAAAAATGTAATTATTATCCAAACTCCATGACAAAATAAATCAATTATGAATAATATTTCACAGAAATACAGAATAGATAATACCTAATTAATAATATTATAAAATAAAGGCCACCAGCCTGCTATTGCACCAATCATCATACATAAACAAACAAACATTTTGCGTAACAAATTTGAAATTTCGATTCCGAATTCCTACCGAAAGTCAAAATACTCTCGAACCGTCGTAGAATTTTACAATTTTACAACAATATTATTATATCTGTATATACTGCCTAGATATGTATCTAACTGCAACCTCTCCGTCACGATACTGCCCCCAAGCCCCCAACGGCCCCAACTCAAGGTGTAGGTGCAACTGCTCCGAAGTCGCTTATAGTGGATACTCGATTCTTCTCAAACCTCGGTAGCAACTTGGTTTATAAACAGTAGTACGGTACCAAAAAAGTATCATTCGATCGATTTAACACTTCGATACGAGAGAAGAGGTAGCTCAATAGGGGGAACGGATAAAAAGTCTCTGGGCAAAAAAAGTTCATAAGATGGTTGAAATAAATAGGTAGGTACAATTTAGAACATTTAAAAACTTATGTAAACACTGTATAATATGTTAATTGTGTGCGAAAAATATCATCTTACAGCCCTTCAGTTCAGCCCTTACAGTATTATTTTTTTATTCGATTATGGACAGCGCCATACGGTGACGTCAGGTATAGTCGTATAGAATGTAGCATTGATCATAGAATAGTCTACTCTATAAACAATGGTATTTAGTATATTGCAGTCACGATTTAAGATATATAATATATAATATAATATATATTTAAGTATATCTTAAATCGTGATTGCAGTAGGTACAGATACAGTCATACAAAATACGTATGTAGGCAGAGTACGCCAACAGTGATTTTAAATAGTTAAAGGTTTTAAACAGTTTTAATTTTTCCAAAAATGGAAATTTTATAGCATTCATACATAGATTTTTTATAATTTTTTAACATTTTTTTTCTATTCTATATATATTTTCCTGATTATTTTTTAATAATATTATGGACTATGATTTAATGACATATTTTTTTAAAAAATATATAACAATTAGCTATTTCTTTTTTTTTTAATCTATCAGTTTTGTATTTATTAGTTATTATCTATAGAAAACAGACTTTTTTCCCTAAGAATTTTTTCGGGACTTTTTTCCTACCATCGCTCAATAGTACTAAAGGACAAATACTTTAAATGTATTTCTAAGGCTTTAGTTTGTACTCTTTTTATGTGTTGTATAGCAACGTAACAAAAGTAACGAGTTTCCTACGACCTACTTTATTTTATTAAAAGGATTTCCAAGTAACGAAAATGTAATGGAAATTACTTTTGATAATTTAGATTTCTATAATCTACTAATATCGATTGCGAATTGAAAAAATAATAATACTATGAAATATATCGAATGCGGGTATTAACTATTAAGTATACCCACAGACTATGTATTTTCGTATAGTCAGCTGTGGCTAGTTACCAATATAATATTAAACATTTAATTTTAACACGATATAATTCAGTGTCCAATGATTTTTGTGTGTCCACTTGCACCGTAAATTAATAATTATGTGTAATGTTAATTAAATGTATTACTATATCAGGTACTGAGGTACTTAACACTTAACGAAGATTATAAACCTAGAACAACGATGTAGAACTGTAGAAGATATTTCTATTCTCTTATTTTTCTTTCTCAACAATTCGAGTACTGAAGATCACTACAGGAGTACCTATCAACTATTAAGTAAACAGAACTAAAAAATCAAACTAAAATTGAAAATAGATAAGGTTTTTGTACTTATTTTGATAACATGATTGAATGTATTATGTTATTTTTCACGGCAGCTTGGTTGATTGTTATTCTAATTTAATTGAATAATTAATCGTACAAAACCAAATTAATTTTTACAGCTCTAGTCAATACTCTCTATAAATTATATGTATTAATATATTTTGTGACTACATTAGAAATAATGGGTAAGAATGATTTGTTTTTATTTTGCAATGTTCTAAGGTATTTATTCTAGACTATAGACTTATAGTATTAAGGTTGCAATAAAAAATTACCAATAATAATGATGTATTAGTTAATTTTGAAATACTCATTACTGAAAGTATGAGAAAATTAAATAGTAACATAGAAACAGTGGTGAATTTAATAATCTTTTAGGTATGCTGACGTGGCCCTTCTCCTAATATATATGTATTATGGGGGTAGAGATGGATTTAATTATCATTAATAAAACCAAATTAAAACCATCGTTTGGAAAATTAAGTAAAACATAACAATTTACAACATATTTTATAATACTTTCATTCATAATAGTATGTAAATTCTTTTTTAGTACTTACTACTTACCTAGTCCACCTAGGTACTTTCTTGTTGACTTGTAAAATACATAGACACGCCATACAAGCCACAATATTTCAAACACAGACTGGACAAATAAAAAATAATATATTGATTATTAACAAAATTTTTGGCTATTGTTATTGTTACCCTTCGAACAAGACAGGCTCCTAATTTTCCAAAGAGCTTAATGTGTTAAATTTAGTATTATACTATTATCAAAAACTGTTTTCTACAATGCACATACCACTTACTACTTGTGGTATGTATATTTTGTTTGATACCTTTATAGAATTATGAAAGATAAAAGGGAAACAACATTTTATGTTAATCCATCTTACTTACCTAATTTTGAGAAGATCAATTTATTATTTATTCTGTGGTATCAATTTGTTAAAAAATGTAATTTATGGTTTTTGTATTGTTTATAATTCCACATATTGTAATGATAATTAATCACATCACAATTTAATTTTAGATGTGTCATCAAACCCAACAACTTCTCAAGCAAATGAAACTGAAAATCAGTATCCAGAAGTAAGAGTTCGTCAAAATCCACATATTCATAATGTGCGTGATGGAAATCAAACTGAACATAGACCACCCCATAATTGGAGAACAAGTATTAAAAAGGATGAAAAGCTGAATATCTGTCGTATATATTATATCGCAGGGTTTTTCTTGTTGCCGTTTTTTTGGTTGGTAAATTTTGTATGGCATTATAATGATGCTTATCTAGCTGAACCATTCGAAGAACAGCCTCAATTTAAACGTTATGTTTTAAGATCTGGTATTGGCTTTATTTTCTGGTCTGTGTTAATTATTGGTTGGGTGTTTTACTTTCAAACGCAAAGGAATTATTATAACTGGGACTATTTAACATTCAATTTCCCTACTGGATCTGCTTAATTTGTGGAAGTAAACTATTCTCCATTACTTAAGTATTTTAATTTTATACCTAATGATTAATAACTATTAATATAAAAAATAAAAAATAATGTTGGTATGACTTGCATGACAAAAAATATTATTAATTTTTAATTACATACCTGTTAAAATTGTAGATCAAGTATTGTTGTTACTTATTGTAAATTGTATGTAATTATAACTTATGATTTGTATCTTAAATAAAAAATATATTGAATTCAATGCATACAACTTGGTTCTTATTTATTCAGTCAATTTTATTTTCACCTATTTAAGTAAAATTCATATTAAGGTTCTGTACATGTATAATTGTCATACTGCTTTATCTCTGCTGTATGTATTAGGATACAAATATTGAAGTATAAACTTTTGGCCAAAAGTCAAAAGATATTAAACTTTAATGTTAATTATAAATTCAGTTTTTAAAACATTTTTTGTTATTGATTACAATTAAAATATGAGTCAATTTGTAGTAAACCTTGTATAGGTATTTAAATATACCAATACTAATCAAAAACATATTATGTGATTAAAAATTTAGATTATTTTTATAATATTGCGTTATTACAATGTACACTAGTGAAAATATTTAATGTGATGTTACTTTTAATTGAAAAATTGGTTGTATTATTAAAAGGATTTTGATGTTATTATTATAGTTATTTATTTATTTATTTATTAACTTTAAATTAATTTCTAGTTTATTTACTTTTAGTAAATTAATTTTTTATTTTGATATAATATCTGACAGAATAATTTAGGATAACAATGTGATTGATTATAAATAACACTATAGGGTGTAAAAGAACAATTTGTCTAGATCTATAAAACTCTGACTGGCTATAGTATGACCCGGTTTACTATTGATAAATGGTGATTATAGAGTCTAATGTCCAATTAAATAATGTATTGCTTAAAACTCATTAAATTATTTTTTATTATTATTATAAATTGAAAAAATCATTATTTCATAAATTGAAAAAAATCATTATTTCATAAACTGTAATACAGTGTTTCGATATTTAACCAGATATATAATAATAATACAAATTTATTTTTGTATGTATATAATTTATCAATTACCAAAACTGATTAAAAAAAAATACTACGCAATACAATTCATACAGTAAATAATTATATTATAAAGTCTAATAAATTTATAATCTTCCAAATCAAAGCAGTTATATTGTTACATAATGTATATGTAAAGTAATCTATAATAACAATGATTTTAAAAGATCAAAAAATACAGAGTTATGTTATTACTTATAACTTTTGACAATAGCCAAAAGTTTTAAGAGTTGAATACATTTAGGTTCATTAAGAATTAAATAGTTGTAATAATTTATTTATTCATTCAATCTTCAACTAACAGATACAATTTGTAATGTAAAACATGTGGTTATTATTTTAATAATGTTTAAATAATTCATACAATAACTTAAAATTTGCTGAATTTCACAAACATTATCAAAATTCTTATAGTAGACTATTTAAATTGTATTAAATGTTTGGTTTGTATAATACTAATTATACCTTAAAGATAAAATAATATAAAAAAGTTTTCATAGTACAAATCCTATCAATTACTAATAAAATATAAATATACTAATTATCGATTTATGACTAATAAAGTAATAACTGCATAATATTATACTATATTTTAGAAAATTGTTATAATGTGTTTATTAGGTTCATATGTTATTATTATAGTTGCGTATCAACTTTGATCAATACATTTTCAATGTTCTCTTAGTGACTATTTATCGTTTTCAATGTTTAAACCACTTATTTTTTAAACTGTGTTTTTTCTAGATCACTTTGAACAATTATTCAATATTTCATATGTATTTACAAAAAATTATATTTCATCTTTTTACATTTAGCATAACATGCATCAAATACTTTGGTATTGAAAATAAAAATCACTAGTTTTATACATTTAAAATTGTAATCTAAAAATAAAAACGAGTGCTTAATAAAATATAATCTAAACTATTTTTGAGATTTAAATTATAAGTAAATTAACATTTGAATTGCATTAAAAATAAAAGTAGTAAAGTTTAAACTATAAATCTCTTTGATATTATGATATACATAAACAATTAAATATAATATAATTTATTTAGAATATTACATTTTATTAAGGAACTTATTTGTTTTGAGATTATTCCAATGAGAATAAGTTGAATAGGTAACCACAGAAAATCAAATTTGTAGAAAATAATTATCTAAATGGAATTACGTATTGTAAATTATGCTTATGAATAATATTATTTTGTGCGTAATAATATTTACAGAATTTATCAATCAATTTCATCAATTAGTTAACTGATGTCGGATGTATATAAGTATGTAATATTATGTTATGTAGGCACGAGTACCTATAATAGCTGTTGATCAATGGTCAAGAAACTGATCACGTGATTGTTAATAGGTACTAATATGATGAAATGGAAGTACTAAAATAATAATAGCTGATCAATACAGTTAAAATAAGTGGGGTGTACACTGTACAGTTTTCTATAAAAACACAAAACTAAAAGAGATTGAAACACAAAGTACCTAGATATTGTTGCACTTGCTGAACAATTTTTATCGTGAAATTCTTGCTTACCTAACTTAAAACAATGTGTCTTGGTGAGTAATTTTTCATTTATTAGTTGTTTTTATATTCTTAGCTATATGTTTATATAATGATAATTAGGGTTTGACTTTTGTTGCATTTGCATTTATTTATGTATTTATTTCCTGGAATGCTTGACATGATGCTTTCCAATTCCAAGTTACAAATGTGTTTCAAATATACACTAGAAAACTTTTTTGGTGAATTTCTTACATTTTTCAAGATTTTTGACATTTAGAAGTACATTTTTAAACTATTATTTAGACATTATTTATTTTTTCACCTATTTCTAGTATCTAATATTCCAAAAAAAAAAAAATGTACCAAAATATAAATCAACCAATATCTTTTTACATTATACAAAATTTCAAGAATGGACGCTCATTACCATTATCATTATATACTATACAAATTGTAAATATAGCCTACCTATATAATTTATGGAAAATTATATATTTTATTTTCTACCTCAGTTATTAACATTTGTGCTGAATTTAATTTTAAGCAGAAGGAAATAAAAAATCAGTGGCGATCATTGGCTGTGGAGCAGCTGGATTAGCAGCTCTTAAACACTTTACAGCTGAAGGATCTCCTTTCACGTGTGTGTCATATGAACAGACTGACAACGTTGGTGGCACTTGGGTATACACTGACAGAGTAGGCAAAGATAAATATGGTTTACCAGTTCATTCGAGCATGTACAAAAGTTTAAGGTATTTACGATTTAACAAAAATATATTTTTTTTTCTAAGAAGGATTTTATTTTTAGAACAAATTTGCCTAAAGAAATTATGGAACTTCAAGGATTTCCACATAAAGGTCCTGAAGACAAATCATATGTGGCAGCCAATGAAATGCTAAAATACTTGGAAGACTACGCAGACCATTTTGACTTAATAAAACATATCAAGGTAATAATATTAATGGATATTTATAAAATGAATACTAATATAATATAGTAAATATTTTGTGAGTTATTACTTATTTAATAATCTTGTTATAGTTCCATCATCACGTAAAGGAAATTAGTCCTCTAGAGGGTGATCGTTGGCGTGTGACTGTAATCGACTTGCAAGAAAATAATGTGGAAGTATTGGAATTTGACGGAGTTGTTATTTGTATTGGGTAATTTATACATATACAATTTTTTTAAATTTTATTAAGTATTAACTATTATTAATTTGTCCTAAAATTTCAGTAACTACAGTAATCCAGCAATTCCCGAAGTTCCTGGAATAGAGAAATTTTGTGGAATGAAAATTCATAGCCATGATTACAGAGATTCTTCGATATTTAAGGACAAAAATACTGTGGTGATTGGTTGTGGTCCCTCGGGATTAGATATATCATTTGATATTGCAAAAGTTGCAGAAAAAGTAATCACAATACAATATAAATTAAAATTTTTTTCTTATTTCATTCCAAATATTAGTAAATATTTAAATGATAATATTTATCTTAGGTTTACTTGAGTCACCACAACCAGCGTGTTAAAAACATGAAATTCCCATCAAATATGGTTCAGAAAATTGATATTAAAGAGGTAGTAGAAAACGGAATAGTTTTCCAAGATGGATCTTATGAACAAGTTGATTCGATTTTATATTGCACAGGTAAGCAAATGCTACTTATAAATTAAATAAATAAATAAATATTTTATAGCTACTTAAATTAACTTTAATTATTTTGAATATTTTGTTTTAGAAATATTAAGAAATTGGCCTACTATGGCTATAAAGAAATCTTATGGCCTATTTAGGCACATATCATCAAAATGTTCATGTTTCTATACTGGATTTTCTTCATTTAAATGACCTTTCAAAGGTCTAGAACTAATAAGATATTATTTTTATTTTTTAGTTATTTAATTTTTATTTCTAATCTTAACTTCAATTTAAATTTTAAAATAATTTATATACATTATTTTACTTTCACATTAGTAGTACATTTTCATTTAATTTTTTTTACTTTGAGCAGGATACAACTATAAGTACCCATTCCTGAGCCCAGAATGTGGTATTCGTGTAGAGAACAATCACGTAAAGCCACTTTTCAAGCATATACTAAATATTGAACACCCTACAATGTACTTTATTGGAATTCCAACCAACACTGCTGGTTTCTGTATGATTGATTTACAGGTAATTCTACAATGAGTACAAGCTAAAAACACTTCTAAATTCTAATATTTGTGAATCTTATCGAATAAAATAAAAAAATAGATAAAATGTGTTGTAATATGTTAAACACTTTGGTATAATTGAATTTTATTTACAGGTACAATTTGCCAAAACATTCTTAGAAGGGCGAGTGAAATTACCAAGTAAGGAAGAAATGATTGAGGATACACGCCTAGACGTAGAGTCTAGATTAGCAAGTGGATTACGACCTAAAGAACTACACATGATGGGTCGTAGGTCAAAAGATTATTACGATTCACTAGCATCTTTATCAGGACTGGAATCAGTGTCACCTGTGGTTCTACAAATCTACTTTGATGGAATTGATAGATTCATGTGTGATTTCTCACACTTCAGAGAAGACAAGTACAAATTATTGGATAAAGATCATTATATGGTTAAATTTCCAAATGAAGAAGAACCCATAATGAGGAGACAAGAGATTGTTTTAAATTAAATTTTTTTACTATAGTTTGATAATGGTTTAGTAATAAAAATATTAGGTCTATATGAGTGTAGTGTATACCAATACAATTGGTGTTATACAATTATTAAACTATGTTTTTAAGTTAATTTTGTATTAAATAATCGAACTGATTTGTATTAAATTAAATTTGTATTTGATATTTTGTACTAGTTGTAATTTTGTTTTTATTTTTTTTAATTATATTTATTTTTTTTTACATGTGAAATTATGTTGTTGTTTCATTACACAAGTATCCTGATAACATTTATTAAAAGTATTTTTTATTGAATAATATCTCTCAACGACTACTATATCTCCGCAGTTTATATAAAGATAGTTGTTTGAAAACTTATTTTAAAAACATAGAACAATTATTTATGGATAATAAAAAAAACTGAAATGAAAAAATCTATGGTCACATCTTTTGTTACTTAACAATGAATTATAACCTAGGTAATATTTTTATTTGGTTGAACAAGTAATAATATTACTTAAAAGTGCACCTATATTAAACAATAAATGAATAATAATCATAAAAAAATAAATGTTTTTCTTGATCACCGAATTTTCAGGAGTTTTATATTGCAATATTGTATGTGCAGTGGTCGAAGTGGCTCAAAATGAGTGAAGAGATGCCTTTCATAATTTATATAATTATCATGTATCGCTTGAACAGTCGTACAAAATAAGTGAAGTGATGGAAAACGTGAATTATAAAAAGTTGAGGGATACCATCTCACTATATCTCCTCCCCCACTTCGACCACTGTGTATGTTTACGTTAGAATGGTATAGGTAGGTACCTAATTAGTAATTTATAACATTTTATATTATTTGTATAAATTATATTATAATTACCTATATAGGTTGGGATGTTCAAACTGCGAGACGCGGCTCCAAAGGGCTTGAAATAATAATAGACCTATTATTATTATTTTATGTTAGACGTAAAACATTTTTTTTAATTTCTATGCTTAACTATTATTAAATATGTTGTCTGATATAGTTGATGTATTTATAATATATATTTCTATGGATGATTAAACATTAATACATTATATTTCTATGTCCTTAATAATTTGAGAGCCACCAAAATGAGAAGTCTTGGGAATGTGGGATGAAAACGTTAGTATACCTAGGTGCCTTTGCAGTATAGGTAGTAAACGCCCTTGAGTACCTACCTAACCTACCTCCGGGTTACCTATCAATGTTTATAAATACTACTAACTAGTATAAAATATAAATGGTAGAATGTTCTAGACGCAATGATTGCAAAAGGTCAACTTAAAACGTTAAAAGGTAAATAGATAAGTAGGTACCTATAACTTATAAGGTAGTACCTTTATTTACTTTCATCATTTTGAGTTAGATATTATTTATAACTATAATATAATATATTAAAATGTACAGTAGTTCCTAACTAATTATTTTATTAATTAGTTGTATTCTTGTATTTGTATTTTTTTTTAAATTGATCATTTATAAATACTTTTGATATTAATTTAAATAGGCATAGCCCCCAAGGCTCAATAACGTCTAACAAGTGGAATACTTTACGTTTAACATATTTTTAAAGTAAACATAGAACCCATACTTTAATATGCTCCAAGTCAAGCACTGCGTAATAGTTATACCTATTAGCATTATCATATTTTAACACGTGGTAGCTATAGGTACCACATGTCTGAATCTTTTTTAATATAGGTGAGATTTAAAAGATAATTGGTTGCCGGTGTAAATTAATTTAATCGAGAAGTACCTACCTAAATACATCTAAAAGAAAATGTTAACAATCACGTGATAAAAGTCAAGCCCGTACTGCCGTAATAATGATCAACGCATAGGTCGTCGAATGGATCTAATGTTTTTTTTTACGATAAGTGATTACGTCTATGTACCTATATAGTACAAACCATTTAGGTAGGTAGGAAACTACTCGAAAAAATAAATTGGCTACTTCAAATGATTTTACGTTTTCACCAATTATTCTGTTATTGTATTGTGGATATCCGAACTGACATTATTTATTACACGTGGTAGACATAATACAGGCATTTATCAAAAAAAATAAAGATGAACGCCGGTAAGTTTGAACATTAATCATTTTATTTTATCGTATTTGAGATTAATTACAAACCTATTTAATATACTATGCATGGTTATAGTATAAATTAAAATGCTATTATCTTATACTTTATTTATTCGAATCTCTTATTGATTGTAATTGGAATTTTGTTTTGTACTTCGTACGATTACTAATTATAAGCCTAACAGCTACATTGAGGTCATAGATCGTCAAAGTCATAATAAGGCAGTTAATGGGCAATTGGCATGCAATGTGCATATGATAAGTATAAACTTCATATCATATTATTCAATATTATATAGGTACATAATATATCCATATAGGTATGTAATAGATGATATAGCGGCGTACTACTACTTAATACGAGTTAACAGACATTTTATAATATTTTTAAATGCGTGTCAATGGTCGATGTATATCATTAAGTTATCAACACTCTGGATGTTATAAATTGTACATACGAGCATAGGCGTGCGCACGGGGGCAGCAGAGGCAGCATATGCTGCCCCTGGACTTTATTTGGGGCTACCGGGGCCGGCAAATATTAAATAATGGGCCTCGGTAAAATTATATTTCCACAAATGATTTTTTTTTTTTTTTTTGGTCAAGTATAGATATGAATATTTTATGATTATAGAATTTATCAGTATAAAACTAATAAACCTGTCTACTATAAAAAGTGTACAACTGTTTATCCAAATAAACAAATAATCAATACAACTTTAATTTTGATACCTAATAGCAAAAATAGTAAAACTATGGGCTGGGTTTAATGGTGAATTTGAAGAATGGGCCGAATTAATCTCTTGCTGCCCCTGAAACCGGAGTCTGCGCACGCCTATGCATACGAGTATTCGTTTTTGTTATAATTAATGTGACCAGAAATTTGTCATTTTGTTGTTATTTATTTACATTAATTAAAAAATTTAAAAACAGAAAAAAATATTGTGTTCTAAGTTTAAAAATATAAGGCACTTGTAATTTATAGCTTTCTATAGAAGGTCTCTAGTAATACTTACTTAGATAATATGTGCATCATAATTCGTAGCCTGGTAAATAGGTAATAGTGAATAGCGATTAACATTGGTATTGTTTTGGCGGATAATGATAACCGACGGGTGTTATTGGTATAAACAATAAGCTCAATCGAAACACTCATTTTACTTATTAAAATTATGACGTTAATCTTGGATTCGTCCAAACATTCGTCATTGATTATACCTACGTTGTATTTACTAATTATCTATGACTGTGGGCTGTGGCCTGTGGGTGACTATAGTTACTATACGAATAAATAGAGCAAAAAATTATTAAGTTCCTATGAATGCAATTGAACGTTCGCCAACAATGAAGTTGATTTTTTAAATAGAACCAACAAACGTCGCCATTTCTTACATAGGTACCTACGACTACATTGGACGAATTAAAAAAATGCTTAAAAATTTAAATAATGTTTTAGGACTCGTTCCAATGAACACATACGTCAAAGTTTCAATCGTATCTATATTACGAATTTGTATCAAAAAACACAATTTAACTCAAATACGTGACCGCCATAGTCAAGTACAAGGTAGGCTATGTTTGTTACATTTATCAAGCCACATTGCCACAACATATTATATACAAGAAAATGAAGAAATAATTAACTTAGGAAAGATGAGGGTGTTTATTTTACCTCATATACTCGCTATAGCATCCCTCCCCTTGGCACTATACCTATAAGTTTAAGTAGTTTGACTATATTTACATAGATCTGTATTGGAGTGGATAGTAGATACAAGGAATAGTGAACTTATCACTGTTTATTATTAATCACTTAACGATATACTTATATGGGTACCTACAAATAAACCTACACCCTATAGTAGTCAGTACCTACCTATGCTATTTGAATGAGTAGATATATCTATTTAAGAAACCAATTAATATTTGTTGATTAATAGTGAAAGTCCGTAATGTTAATATACAATAGGTATTATATTATAATATACATAGGTACCTATTATTCCTATCAGCATGGTCGTTGATTATGACATTAATGAGCCATTATTTTTTTTGCTTTTACTTTTTTTTTTACTTGTAGATATTTGGTAGCCAATGGTTTACGGTTCTATGGTAGGACAATGTTTAAAAATTGTATTTATTGTTGCGTGCCAACCTTCAAAGGTACCTATTTATTTATCTAACTTCTGGGCTCTAGCAATACATTTAAATGATCATATTGAAACATTTAATAATGAGCTGTAAACTCTGATGACTATATATAATATATTGTATATTGTATGCTGTCATAATTAGTCCGGGTTCGCACGGAAACTTAGTTTTTGTTTTCAACACAATTTAGATTGTCTCGTCTGTTTTGGGAAAAATTGAGTTTATATTTGTTTTCTTGCCATGTGTGGTCCCGGAATTATAGGTATTTAGGTGTCATTGAATGTTTATTTACAGTATGTTAGACGATTAGTAATCGTTAAACAAATAAGCTTAGGTAGGTAGGCACATCTCTATATTTTGTTGTGATTTTTAAAATACCTATTCACTACTACTTATACTATAATAGTATAGCCTATAAGTAGTTGAATGCACCTTGTTACGAATTCTTTGTAGCATGTTCGAGCTAAGACACCTATAGTAATTATTTACAAATATAGCCATATAGGTAGGTGCTTACAGTAGGTACCTATAATATGGTTATACTCTTATTTTAATTAAAATGTTATTAACTTATTTCGCCGGCCCTGGTTACATTAAGTATACTTACATTTAAAATTATAAACATCGTTGTAATAATAGATGTTTATCGATCAGTAGGTAATAATATAATATAGAAACGAGTAGGAAGTAGACCTAATTATAAATAACGCTCGTAAGACGTAACGTAACGTACCTATTATGAAGATCAGGCTAGATAAATAATGTAATAATACATGAGATATGTTATTGCCGAGATGTATACACCAGCTGGCAGCTATATAACTTATTATTACATCACATCAATTCTTTATCGTCCTAGTGTGTAATATTTGTAGGAATAAATGTATAATGCTATATATTGTATAAACCTAATTAAGTGCATATAATAATTCAAATTTAAAGGTAAACAGAAAATGACCCACGAGGCTTATCCCTGACGTTTCGTCTACGTCAGTACGGCACATATTAAAATAGGTCATTTGCCTGAGAAATATTACTATTGGTTATTACTTATTAATATTATTATCTACTGTTATTAATTATCTGCCATAGGACGTTTGGTGATTTTAGTTTTAACAACCTAAATATTAGTGATATAGCTAGCTAGATAAGTAGAAAGTTCGGAATTTAATGTAATAAAACACATTTAGAATTTAAGTCATTAGTCATCTTTTGCGCATAAACACATCAAACAATAGAATTATAGAAGGTACCTATAAAAATAATATTGAAAAGTTCATAAGCTGTACATCAGTACAACACATATTAAAAAACTTATACATTTGAATTCTTAATTTTAGTTGAACTTGAAAATTAAGCAACCATTGTAACAATTCACATAGTTTACTAAATATAATAAGTAATATCAAATAAGTACCTAACTTACACCAATATAAAAGTAAAAATACATTTGTTTATTCAACTAGGTAAATTTATAATATTAATAAATAAATTATAAATAAAAATAAAAATAAAATATATAATATATAATATATATATAATTATAAATCATTACTATTTTAATAGACAATATAAAATATTATATATTTAAACATATTGCGAAATGTAATAAAAATCTGTCTACTGCAACCGTGTATATAATATAGTCACCTGTAAACGCCAGTCGCTTTGTCTTGCCGTAATATACATTTATATTTAGAAACAGAAATACCTACTACTACTACAGTACTACTCGACAATTGAAAATTAAATATTTGAGTCAAATTTTAAACTTAAAGTTGATAAGCAACTTGAGTTTTTGGGTACTCTTAATCTCTTCCAAATCTATTGTTGACTGGGCAAATTAATATAAATGATGTACGATAATTTGGCATAAGGTAAACAGGTGATATGTCTAACCCAAAAATCGAATGACGCGCAACTGTCAAAAAGGTTCAAAATGAACAATAGTGATTATAATCACTATAGTGATGCACAAACGATGTATGGCCAATGAGGTTTAGTTCACATATTATTATACGACATATATATCCGTATCTGTATGTTTATCTTTTAAGCCCCAAGTAAAATCTTTATTACATTAGTGCATTTTTAAAACTTTTTTTTAAAATTTATAATAACACAAATATTAACTCTTAATTATTTGTAATTCTATTGTATGTAGCTATATATTATTATTTATTTGACTTATTGCAATTTTCATTAATTACTTCTGCGTTAGTTATTAGTTACCTATTTATTAGGATAAAATTCAGAAGTAATTTAACCATAGGACGTTATTGATCTTCATCGACGTACCTATATTGACTGTACGACTTAGGTCTCCGAGTCTTTCAATATGTATTTATTTAATTCATAATATAGGTACTACAAGGCCGAAGATGAGTCACTGAGTCACATATCGTGTTATTGTAGTAATTGATGTATTTAGAAGTTGTTCGTCTTTGAAAAATATAATATATAAGTACATAATCCAATATGTAGGTATTATACACAGCTGGTTATTATTTAAAAACGAAGAACGCATTGAGAAAAAAATAGGTCCTCGCAGAATCAACTTAAATGATATCAAAAAAGTGAAAATTATAAATTTCTATCAAACTAAACAAAATTGACAAACGGGTCTCATTAGGCTATTTTTTGTATAAATGTTTAATATAACTAAAATACAAATTAAAACGTTACAAATAATAGTATATTAATATCTATATAGGTCATAGGCATAGGTAGGCACAATATTGCTGGGACTTCATTATATGCACACCGATGATCACTGTCATATTGAACAGAGTATTAACGTAGGTATATTTAGAATACCTTTTTCGGTTTTCCGTACACATTGAGATCATTAAAAAACATTTTTCAAAAAATATATACTTTTTATCGTTTACAAAATGTTAACATTTTTCGAATGACAGGATACATTTTTAATTTCATATTTCAAGGCAAATTTTTTTTTATGCAGTCGAAGTAATAGGTTGGCAGGGCCATCCCACAGGGGGGTTCTTGGGGTGTCCCATCCTCCAAGCATGCAATATGTATATGTCAGTTGGCACGTTGAGTTGGCGATCAGCAAATAATAATTTTTTTTTTTACAGTTTTTAAATTGTTTTGTAAATACTACAAAGTACAAATATGTCATAATAATTTATAGTAATTTAAAATAATATGAAGTAATATAAGATAATTTTCCGATTGCCAACTGTCTAACACAAATACCTACTAAAGTAATATTTAAGTACCTAACAATGTAGGTATTATATAAAATTTTAACAGTTTACAAATTTGCCTTTACATTCTAATAATCATTGAATTATTTAAAAAATACTATTATGATAACTGATGAGAAACTGTTGTGCGCTGACAAATGTAACTTCTATTTATAGAAGTAATGCGAATATTTTATTCTGTTTCATCTCACTTAGACATCGACTAAATAATACGATTCTAAAATTATTTCCCTTAATTACTTATATTAGATAGTCAGTATTGACAGTATTTACTATTTAAATTGTAATTAATATTGTTATTGAATATTTGGTTATTTTGTAATTAGTGTCATTATTCATTCCTATCATTCCATAATAGTATAATCAATATGCAACAGTGTTCCGAATTTTGTTATTGAAAATATCTTATTCTAATAAACTAGTCAAGATGTGATGAAAATATATATATAAAAGATAGTTAAAAAGAGAACATATAAAATATATATTAAATATTATATATATTTAATATTTTGTAATATGGTGTAAATGATGTCTACTGATTGCTATGTAGGTAGGTAGAAGATAGTAGTTGTCGAGTGATGCGAGAATATTGTTTTAAGTTGGCACAATCATGCATCTCACACCCCTTTATTATTTCGTTCGGGGCGACCCTGTAGGTGAGTGATTAAAGTAATAAAAATATTATTTGTCTTCTGCGTGACGTATTGATTACTGATGTCACGTAGGAAACCCCCCGCCAATAGATAATTAATTAGTAAATACTTTCTACTTTCTAGTTAGGGCCTTAGCGGCAAAGCCAAGGAGGACATTATTAAATAACGAATTCCCATCAATCGATTAATTTGAAATTTTGTTGCAATTTAAAATTACCAAATGTTCAAAATATTTCGCCTCTTTTTGAGGTTTTTATGCTATTGAGGCATGCAATTTTTTACAGTTTATTCTATAGTCAACACGATATGATATAAATACCAAGGTATAATCGGTCAGATCCTTCTGTAAAAACGTAACGTATATACCTACCTAGTAATAATAATTTAATGACAACATTTAATAATATGGGTAAGCAAGTAACTTAGTGACGTGTTGCGCAGACTTGAACTAAATGTGGACCCTATTTGTGATCAAACCATGTTGTTCATATCATTATATTATATGACTAACCGCTATGCCACGGACTTTAAATTAATATTTTTATATTAAGTTGGAATAACTAAAAAAATATATTTAATATACCTATATATAATACATTATTATCTTAAAGTCAGTAGGCTATACTTAGATATTAGAAACTTGAATTAGTTGGATAATACGGTTGCAAATAATATTACCGTCGGGCGTAGAGGCGTAGAACAGTGTTTCTTAACCTGTGTTTCGCGGATCTCACTTAGGGGTTCCGCGAAAGCACTTTATCTACATCATCTATCAATTATACTTTTTTACTTTTTTAAAGATAATTTTCATAGGGGTTCCGCATGAAAACAAAATATTTGATTGGTGTTCTGTGATATCAAAAAGGTTAAGAAATACTGGCGTAGAATACTAAGAACTAGAATATTACACTATATAGAATGTACTAGATAGAATGAATATTATTATTATGATGTACACAGGTAGTTGAGTAGGAGGGATACAACTTAAGAACCTGTTGTTCTATCATTACCACAGAACAATAATTGCTATTATCTCAAGTCTCAATATTATCCGTTACCATTCTTATTATCACAATAACTGAATTCTGTGTTATTACAATATTATAGTTATTACTTATTTCATATTTGTCATTTGTCAATCTTGTCGGGTCGCCACTTGTCACGCCATATCGCTTATTATGGTTTATTATTGGCTTGTTTAAGCTTAACTCAACTTAGTCAATTTTTATAACGTTCTCGAGTGGATAAAACTGATAAAAATCTCATCGTGGGATTTGCAATTTTACTTTCGAGTGGCAATTGTTATTTCGTTTGTTTATTTAAATCAAACTCGCTGTCCGTGATCGTAGGACTTATTCCTATTACCTATACCCTATAATTGTTTTCGGTGACTTTGGCACCTAGCGAATAAAAAAAAAAAACATTACTGCAAATCATAATGTCTATGTGTACTGAAGAAGCGAACAAAAAGACCGTCGGAATCATTGGCTGTGGAGCATCCGGTTTGGCGGCTTTGAAAAATTTTGCAGCCGATGATTCGATGTTCAAATGTGTAGCATTTGAACAGACCGCCAGCATTGGAGGTACATGGGTGTACACAGACGATGTTGACAGAGACCAGTACGGCTTACCAGTTCACTCCAGCATGTACAAAAGCTTGAGGTATATATATGTGAATGGTTTGCTATTGTTTGTTAGGTATCTAACTCATAAAATTATGTACCTTTGTTTCAACATGTTTCCCATACTATTAGGTCAAACTTGCCAAAAGAAATTATGGAGCTAAGTGGATTTCCACATACAGGTGTTGGGGATGCTTGCTACTTTCCAGCTGCATACATACAGAAATATCTGAACGATTTTACTGATCATTTCAATTTAAGACCACATATTAAGGCAAGTCAAATAATACTGTTTATTATATTTATTTCACATTAATATTATGTATTTTATGTATAGTTTCATCATCATGTAGAAAAAGTAAGACCTATCAATAATGGCCAATGGGAATTAAATGTTCTCAACTTGCAACAACAAAGTAAAGAAACTTTCATCTTTGATGCATTGGTGATATGTGTTGGGTGAGTAATATTAGGCAATGGTTTTTGGAACAAATTAATTTTACTGTATAAGTCTGTTCAAATTTAAGGATCTAAGGATTTGTAAATTACATTAAATTATATATTTGTACTGTGATGTGATTTACCTACTTTAACTTGTTCATATTCTAGTAATTATAGCAATCCTGCTATTCCAGATGTTAAGGGTTCCAACATATTCAGTGGAAAAATCATGCATAGTCATAGTTATAGAGATGCAGATTCATTTAAAGGAAACTCAGTATTGGTTATAGGCTGTGGTGCATCTGGCCTAGATATATCATTTGGTGCATCACAAGTAGCAGACAAGGTAACCTTTAAAATCATATTTAAACTTATCTATTATTTATTAATATTTTAAACATAATTTTAGGTTTTCTTGAGTCATCATCAACCTCGACTATTGAATCTGAAAATTCCATCTAATTTTTTCCATAAGACCGATGTTAAAGAAATTGTTGAAGATGGTGTTATTTTTCAAGATGGCTCTTATGAAAAAATTGACACTATAGTATACTGTACAGGTCGGTTAACACTTTAAAAGTATTCATTTTATTCTATGTTATTTATTGATTTTATTTTCTAGGATACACCTATAAATATCCATTTTTAAGTAGCGAATGTGGAATAAAAGTGGAAGATAATGTTATTAAAAATCTATTTAAACACATGATTAATATTGAATACCCAACAATGGGATTTATTGGTGTACCTAGGAACACTACAGGATTTTACTTATTTGATCTTCAGGTTATTTAAAAATACATATTTTTGTGTTATCATTCATAATATAATATTTAATAATATACCTATTATTTTCAGTCCAGAATTTTTAAAAAGATTTTAGAAGGTGGGGTAAAAATGCCTAATAAGGATGAAATGCTTCAAGATACGTATAAAGAAATTGAGGCTCGATTGGCTGGTGGTCAGAGATTAAAGGATCTTCATGCGCTGGGTAAAACTAAGTGGGCCATGGAGTATTATACTTCAGTTTCAAAATTTGCTGGTGTAGAACACCCTCCACCAGTGTTATTGCAAATATATTTTGATGGTATTGGAAGGCTTTCAGAAGATTTTTTGAACTTCAGAGGTGATAAATATCAAATTATTGATAGAGAACATTATAAAGTACAATATTTTGACCAAAATGAACCGATTATTAAAAAACAAATTTTATATTCTTTTTAAAACAATTAAAACAATTAAAATTTTATTATGTTAAATATTTTTTAGAGTTTAAATTTGTTACATTGTTTTTTATAAATGTTATTTATTAAAGGGTACATGGTAAATAAAAGAAATATATTTTGTGTATCATGTTATCTTTAAATGTCTTATAACCTTGTTAAATATTTGTAGGAAACTGTGATTGTCTATTATTTTGTGTTAATATAATATCTATTAAATACTAACTAATACATATCAACTATAAATTATAACCATTTATATGTCAGTTTTAATTAATCTGTTGATAAAAAATTATTGATTTTATAAAATATGTATCCACATTAACTAAGATTATATTTTTATATAGTTATACATATTTACTGTCTTATATTATTGTTACCAAAATGTTTTTTCAATTTTAAACCATTTTAAAATGTATTCATATTTGAATAATATTTCAAACTAATTTACAAAGAATCCCATGCTTGTAGCATTACTTACTATGTATTGCATGAATACCTAAATCGGTAAAAATCCTTACTTATTTTATTTATATATACTTATGAATATTTTAATACTTATAAATTAATCTAAACCAAAATTTGATTAACTTAAAAAAAGTACTTAACTGTAAAACTAAAACCTACATCTCTCTACTTAAATATTTAAATTCTAAATTGAAATGATCATAAATTTCACAAAATATGGTGTTTAAAAATATTGAAATGTCTATTAGTAAGTAACATTTTTTTTACACACAAACATTATTTTTTTTATTCAATTATTTATTACCTAAGGAATTAAATATATTTTAGCATTTTAATTGACTAGGGTTTACTGGATTTATAATTTACATATAAATTCAACATATTTATATTAACTTAACTCACTGAATTACTATTTAATTACTTACAATTTTTTTAATAAATAAGAACATATTATGTAGGTATATATTTAAATATTTATTATTTTTGAGCTCATTGGTAATAGTGGAGTTGTCTAGTTAGCAAAACTGAGTTAGTGCGTTATAAGTTAAAACATCTTATAACAGCTCCGATTTTAGCGGTAGACACTCAACATTTTCAGGTTATTTAAAATTTATAGTACTGGCCACCTGGTACAATCCATACCATAACAATTGTTTGTGAAGATTTTATGTTTTTGATATTTCTGTTTTCATTGAAGGTAAGATTGGAATCACACTTGACTTGGTATGAAGATATTATTATGGTGGGTCTTGTTGAGTTTCAACCTATTTGAACTAGGCTTTACCACACTACCTGGTTAGTAAATTTACCTAACCCTGGTTCATAAATCAGTAGTTCAGCAAATTAGGCAGTACCTACCTGAAAGCGATAGAACATTACGTACTTAATGCTTATAAAGTTATAGGTATTTATTAATTTTGATAATTAGCTATGTACCTATACTTGTAGTTTAAAAATAAAAAAAATCAATATGTTCAAAGTTCTCTCGTATTCTAGTGAATAGATTCTAAAGTATTTAAGTATGAATAAAAAATTTTTTTTTTCTGTTATTAATTTATAAAGCAATGTCTTTATGATAATATGATAGTTATTATAAAATACTTGCAACAACAATTAGCTTATTTAATGTTGTGCAGTAGTCGGTAAAAAAAATATAACCCATCAAAGAACCGCATGTTCTGGTCTTAGAAACACAAAGGAACAGAATACAATATAATAAGTATAGGTATTTACAGAACCTTTTTTTTTATTAAAATAGAAAATTTACAATCTGTAGCACGTTTACTGACTTTTATCAGGGAAAAACCGTAGTGTCTCAAATGCGTCCGTTATATTATAATATTTAATACAAACAGTGATTTTTAATTTTTATCGTACAATTTTATTATGATTATAAACGACCACAGTACCACACGTCCACACGTATCTTGTTAATTTATCGAAAATCAATTCCCACTTCTAACAGTTGAAACGACAGTGAAATTCCTAGGCCTTGTGTTGATATAGAGGAAAAGTTTATGGTGTTAGGTATTATAATCTTATAGCTATTTTTTAAAATATTAAAGTTGCACACGCAAGGTTTTTTTAAGCATTCAATGTTCAAATTTTGATTAAATTAGACGGTTAGACAAAAAATAACAATTTAGTTATTTCATTTTAATTTAAAAATATTATTTATGGGTAATTTTAAGAAACTTTTAAGTTCCGTTATAAATAGGATAATATTTTACACACACTTTAGACATTTTGAAAAATGTTTTAAAATATTTCAACATTCCACTTATATAGCCTTTTAGAGTTTTTAGGACCTCTAAATGGCTAATTTTTAAGACCAAAAAAACTCAACTTATTTTTTTAACATGGGTATTATCTAGTATTTGATTTTTTTTGTTATTGATATCAAATTCAATATATTTATCATTAGATGATTGAATAAAGGATTCTACTGAGTTTCTGCGAGTTGAGGATTCTTCGTGTATTTTAACAACTATTCATGAATATGTTTGAAATTATTACAAGTTACAACCATTAGAAAATATAATAAGTAATAATAAATGAACCAAATGCAATTCAAAATAAACAGTTTAAAGCTTTGAGCTCATTATTACACAGATAAGTAGATAACCCCTTTCGCGCAATTTTTTTTTGTTATCTAGTGTCTTTCTAAAATAAAGATATTTTGTAACATATTATAATATGTATAGTTGTATATTTACTGAAGAATGATTTCTGTTGTTTGACAAATTTCATTTTTTGAAAAATATCAGAATTTTTGTAAAGTTTAAATATTTAATCATAAGATGATAAATGACACTTTAGAGCCTAGAGTAAAGATAATTAATCCAAAATCCTAAAATCTAGGTTCAATTATTTTAATGATAACATAGATCTAACTACCCAACTATAAATACCATAATAAAAACTTTATTATTTCATTAATATTAACTATTAACTTTAATCCAATTAATATTTTTTTTGTTTATAACACAGTTTTGTTATTTTTAAGCAATGATTGAATTAGAAATAAACTAGAAAGGAATGCAAAAGTATAAAAAAAATTTTTTAAATTTTTTTTAAACTTTTTTCAAATAATTTATTTTGTTTTTAATTGAAATAAAACAGTCATATGCATGTCAGTCGTATGTTGTTCAAAATTGTATTACAAAATAAATTATATTTTTGTTATGGTTTTATTTGATCAAGATGGTGTTTGCTGTAATTATTGGAAACAAAAATGAAAAATAAATCCTCAAGAATTGCCGGAACAAATGCAGTTTAGTTCCCACGCGATTTTTTTGATTTTTTTTCCACCAAAATATGTGTTTTAAAGCACTGAATACAAAAGTCTAATTCCAAAATTATCGCAAATCATTATTTTGGAAGTTATACCAAGAAAACTATAAAATAGTAATGTTTTAAAAAATACGTGATATTTACGATAAAAACATCAACAAAACTACATTTTGATTTTTTTTTTAAATTGTATGTGTTTATGATGAATGGAAATATGCATAAAGATTTTAAATATCGTACTTGATGTTTAAAAATTCAAAAATTTGAAATCAAAAAGGTTTTTTAATTTTTTTAAATTTTTTCAATATTACATTATAAATCTTCGTCATTTTCATCCGTTTCAGAAGACGCTTCATCATCACTTACCAATAAATTATTTTCTTGTATCGCTTTTGGATCATAGAGCTCACCAGCAAGTTTAAAAAATTCCGTCAGAGGTTCAATATTTAATATACGACACCTTTTCAGGAACATAAACTTAGCTAAATATCCTGCACCATAAAACCGTTTTTTGCGAGAATATTGAGAAAGCGAAGCCTTTGCGTGACGCCACATTCCCTCAACAGTATTTGTGTGTGCTCCTGTTTCCGGATTTTTGAACTGAATAGAATGATTCACCGTTAAGTGAACAAATCCTTCATCTTCCAAACATTGATAACTCTAATTAAACAAATTAACACAATATTACAACTAGATATCACAATATCCCTCGGCGGAACTTGTCGGTTATCGCGACTACCGTAAAAATTATAAAAAAAAATTATAAAAACTAGCAATAATTAATAATTCACTTAAGGAGGGAAATGCTCAGACATGCAATTTAAAATATCAATTATTTGATAAAGTGTGTCAGTGATGCTATGCTAGCGGCACTCGTCGCTACGCTCCTCGGCGCCGTCGCTCCGCTCCGCTAATCGAAAATATCCCCCGACATGCTGTGCAAAACCCCCTCATGTAGGTCACAGGGTAAAAACTAAATGTATTAAGGTATTTATACCTTCCAACAATCGCTGATAATTGTAGTCCCTGGTAAGATCCAATCATTGATTGCTGTAAGAAGAGGGTATCTTTATCTCGCTTTTCTACTGGTATTAAAAAACAATCCCCAGTTTCTCGCTGAACACCACCAAAAATCCATTGTCCATCTACGCGATGCCCGCGGTTATATTTTCTTCGACCAAATTTGGACTCGTCAATTTCGACAAATTGACCAACTCCACCTATTACATGAATTAATTACTTTAATAGTGTAAAAGAAAATGATTTAACTTTTAATTCTAAGATAGGTTATTTTAAACTTACCTATCTTATTATGATTTGTAATCATAGCCTCGAAGACGACTTCTCTATGAAACGATGACCAATCAACAGCAGTATGTTGAGCAATTTTAATTTGTTTTACAATAAATGACAATGACACATTTTCTAACCACAAATATGCAAACGATACAATTTGGTATAACGACAAATGCGATTTATGAAAAAATGTATCTACGCGAATCGATTGATAATAGTCGCATTTGTTTTTTTGCTTATTTATAGGTGCCCTACATCTCCAACCAAACCCGTCTAAAGAACGCACATCAGGGTATAATTTTAAATAATGACCATTTTTACATTTTAACACACAATCACGGGCCAACAAATTCCACGATTGCAATTTTTCTATTACACTTATTGAGACGGGGCCATTGGTTTTATGTTCAAATATATCATACAACTCAATAAAATTAACAAATAACA